TCAGTGAAATTAAATGTTAAACACAGCTTAAACATTCCAAACTACCTATTTTTTAAATAAAAATACAAACAAATTGAAATAAGATACCTACCTATTTATTAAACAATTAATTGAATTCAATGTAAAAGCAAAAATCCATTTCTACTTAAATCATGTTGCTAGGTATTGTCAAACTGTTACTGCTTCTAAAAGCAATAATAATTATTGTACATTTAATGTAATCTTTAGCTAATAAATAAATGAGATTCTAAAAAAGTGAGGTTGGGCCACTTTGATGTGGAATTAAATTGACCTATAAAGTGCTTTGAAGATAAAATGTTGTATGCCATTCGGCCAAGAAGTGCCTTTTTGTGCTTCGCTCAATTGTAGGCCTCCGCTACGCGTCGGCCTTCAAACCTTGAGCTTAGCACAAAAAGCCTTACTTCTTAACCTAATGACATAAATAACTATTAAATTTAAAAAAACAAAAAAACTGACCATATTCATCAAAAAAAGTTAAGTAAACACTTGAAAACAATTGTATGAGGAATAAAAATCTGAAGTGTGCAATAAACAGTTCGGAATAGGAGGATAGTAATCCGATATGTGTTACCTACCACAGTTTAAATCAAGATGGAACTAAGATAATAGTTTACATGTAGGGTATTCTTAGTCTATTTTCAATGAAACCCTTTAAACAAATGTTTCAATATAGATATCAACTGTTCGTTGTCTTAATATTTTGTTACGTCTATCTTTATCCAACCCCATACCTGTGAATAGAAAGATAAAATAGCCGTAAACATGTCATGCAATTAAAAAGAAACAGCGGGGAACACAAATATTTCCACATTGAAATTTATAAGGGTACAATACATTTAGGGATAGAATTAAGAGCGAGTTGTGAGGCCATTATTACCTAATGTTTGTAAAATAAATTTCAATTAGATCCATGGGTATTAGTTTTTACGATGTTGCGCTACCTTATTAGAATATGAAGCATATATAAGTAGGAACTCTTAAATTCTATGTTATGTTTATCATAGTACTTCCTTATCGGTCATTTACCTTCTCTATGAATGACGATTATCTTTAAATAATTAGCAAAATATTTTTGGTCTTAATTTCTTAATTTTTTTACGTTGTTTTGCTATTTTGGTACACTTTATTATACCACCGTAAAAATCCAAGCTAAAATAACTACTTACCTAATTTCCTATAAGTTATTTTTACGGTAAACGAAAACGGTACAAATACGAAAATTACCACATATGGGGCATAATTTAAAACGTTATTTTTACTACATTATAACTATCCATGGATAGCTTGCAAGCGACCAAAAAAATTAAAAAATTAAATACCTCATATTTACGTACAAATTACGTTAAAATTACCTCATGTCTGTTCTTCCTTTTTATATTTTCTTTGTCTTTTTAATTTATATTTCAAATATTTTAGAGTTTAATATAAATATATGATTTTATTTAATGGCAGCTTTGTCGGTTAATTTAACAACATATTTACTAATAAAGAAAATAAAATAAAATTTTCAAAATTGTTGTTAAATTTTTCGCTGCGACAGTCGCCAATCCTTTTAGATAACTTGCGAATAATTTATTGTAATTTTTCGAAATCAATTCCTGTTTCAAATGTTTTTCCTTGTCAGGGTACATAAATTTTAAGAGCAGGCCTGAATTTTACATTCTTGTAGCGCAGGAATGGCATTAAAAAACTGCTGCTATTCAGCAGACTTTATTTGAATTAACAATAACGGTTGAGGCATCGAAATTTTCCCGAAAAAATATATGTGTGGGCCGATTAAATTTTAATGAAACTTCTGCTTATATAGCTAAGGCTGTTGACATTCCTTCAATGAAATCTCAAAATAGGCTATATTTGTAGACATAGTATATGCACCTGTTTTATAATAAATTTGAATACATTTGTGGGATTGCTTATTACAATTTTTTCTGATTGAATAATTTTAAAGTTTAAGGTTAAGAAATAATTTGCATAAAAATATTTAAATTATTGTAGTAAATCGTCTTTCTGAATGATCCTCATAATATTATGCAAATTTTATTGATAGTTTTTAAACCATAATAAACGCAGTATACTATGCTTTTAAACATTATTCTAATTTCATTATTTATTTTCTTACTAGACATTTTATTGCCAATATTATTATTTACGAGGTGTGTTCAGAAAATATCGGGAATTTTCGTTTTTTAAAACAAATATTTATTTATTCGTCCACATTAATGTTGTCGCCTTCAAAATAGTCCCCATTGGATATTATGCACATGTGCCAGCTCTTCTTCCAATACTCGAAACACTTCTAAAACTCGATCTTTGGGATAGCCTTTTAATGTCATCTATGCTTGCAAAACGATGGCCCTTTAAGGTTCTCTTTATTTTTGGGAATAGGAAAAAGTCAGACAGAGGCATGTCTGGCGAATATGGAGGCTGGGGAATCATTACAATATTGTTTTTGGCCAAAATTTAACAATTTTAGAACAAATTTTGCTGCTACGCGTTTCATACCCAAAACATTCGAAAAAATTTCATGGGATGAGCCAATCGATATACCAACATCATCAGCGACTTCTCTGATGGTTTATAACCATTTCTTCCACTTTTTCCATGTTTTTATCGGTTGTTAATGTGCTTGTGCGTTCGGGGCGTTCTTCATCTTCAACGTCTTCACGGCCATCTTGGAAACTCTTATACCACTTGTTTTACTTATAGCAGACTCACTATAGGCCTTTGTTAACATTTCACAGAATTTATTTAATTTTTTAAGCAAAATTGGATACAAATTCTTTGATCCATTTATATTAACGAACGAAAAATCGCCGAGCTGATAAAACACGTCTAACCTTAGCGGCTGCCACAGATAAAGTAAACAATGAAATCAGCTAATTTTTTATCATATTTCGGGGGCATGTATACCAACATAATAAAGAAAATTTTATGACAACCGGACCCTCCAAACCCGCGAAATTTAACAATTCCCGTTATTTTCTGAACACACCTCGTATTTCTCTGATTTTAGGATGCTCTTACTTATTGGCTATAAACAAATATAAATTAACCTGCCATTTGGCTATTTTATTGTGTTTAATTTAACTACTTTATTTACATGTCGGTAATTTATAACTCTTTGGTTTTGGTTTAAATTTGGTTAAAATTAGTTAAATTAAACTAACTTGTTTGTTTTTAAAATAACTAACCTAAAAAAAATTCCCGCCGATCTTACGTTCTGAATTTGCAGCCCTGCTTTATTTTTACAGACGCATCTGTTCTGTGATAAAACCTGTAGATGCTTACAGAATTAATTAAATGCCAGGGGACTGTTTTAAGATTTGTAGATAATTATTTACAACTTTGTTAACTCTTCTATAGTTAGTTAAATATGTTTAAAAAATAACTAGTAAAGGGTTAAAATTAGAAGTTACTACAACGTTATCTAACCTACTTTTTAACTTAGTAATATTACTAACTAGTTAAATATTTGGTTTATTATTAATTATGGTATGCTAATTGGGGTTACATGTTTAACACCATCGTAAACCGTTACCGAAATGACGATTTAACGACTTTTCTTGGTTGTTTTGTATTACTGTCAAAATAATTAAGTTCGAATGGTATAAATAGACGAAAAGTTAAACCGTGAGTCGTATTTTGAAGGTGAATTGCTAACAAATATACTTTTTGGCCGATGATATGCTTCCTAACGACATGTCAAGGCGAAAATTAATTAATATTAAATAAAATGTTATAGGTAAAGTTTTAGTGAACGAAGGAAACAATTATTTTGTCTAGTGAGAGAATTACAGCCCAATATAAGTAACAAATGACCAAAATATATTACTAGGTCACTCCCTAAATAGAATGAAATAGTGTATGTTCGCTATGGGGCTATTTTCAAATTTAAAAGACATAAATAAAATAATACAATGGATATTCCTTTTTATTGTTTGGTAGGTTTTTTATTTATGATTTAAGATATACTTACAAGCCCAAAGATATTTGTAAGTGCTATTGCTTAAAGGACTTCCGCTTGGCTTCAAATCAAATTCTAAACAGTTAACACTATTAAATGTCAATCAATCCGCCTTAAGTATTATAATAAATCTCTTAATTCGTTAAACACGGCAAATCTTTTGCAATTGCCATTGTCAGTTAACGTTTATTTAAATGACATGGGCAAATAATTAAAAGCCAATATCAACAATTATTTTACACATTATACTATGTATATCTAAATAATCACTGATTAATAAAGCCATTTTAATTTATATGCTCTACGATTAAATACAAATAAAATTCGAATTTATTTTATACTGACCAATTATACTCATACGATTAAAAACCCGTTGTTCATCTTATCCTTATTTGTCCCATTCGATACAATTAGTGATTTCATTCCACACAACCAAATAAAAGGCAAAAATTAATTAAGATAAATTTAAGTGGTCTCGTTAAATAAAATTAACAAAAATTCATCATGATATTGTCCTGTTATAAATTTAAAACTATTAAAGTCAAAACGCTCGGGCAATTTTAATTTAATTATCGATCGAGTGCCAAATACGTTTTTGTTAATTTTATGTAAGTAACGAGATTTCAAGATTCAAGAGCACAGTACTTCTGCAAGTTAAGTAATAGACAAACCTGACTCTCACGTAGAATAAATAGAGAAACCAGTATAAAAATAGAGTACACAATTTATCATTATTAGCAAGTATTTATTTACATAATTTAAACAAGTTTTGTCTACAGTGTAAGTTAAACATTTCTTTCAGGTGTCATCTCAAGTTGATCACTGACATAACAAACAATCTGTTTGGAAAAACAATACAATGGTTATTAAGTGTCAGGAAATTAAATGTACGAGGCGTTTTTGAGGCTTGAATAATCGATTCAAAGATTCCATTATAGATTCGCTTCATGCACAAATATATTATGTTTTTTTGTGGAAAAGAAAATATTAATCGGTTTATATTTTTTGGTTTCAGCTATTTTACAGCGCATTGCTGTCGGAAAAGGACAAATGAGGATACAAGGAGTAGCTACATGTCAGTATTTGTGTATGGATAGTTGTGGATTCCTATACGGCTCGGTGAGTTTATATTTTATGCACTTTTTTGTATTTTTTGCTATTACACTATGCAACATTTTCGGAAAAAAATTAAGATGATGGGGTTCTGAAAGTATTTTCGGTTTCTACAATCAAAATCATGAATTATAGCGTTTACAGAATGTTAGATTGATTCTGTTTTTTTTAATATCAATTTAAATTCTGGATCCCGAAATATCGTAAAATAATAAATAATTAGTACATAAAAGATAATTATTGGTTTTGTATATTGTTTTATAAAGTAATAACAATCAAATAAAGAAAAAAATAATAATTAAATAAAAAAATAATGAGAACAATTATTATTATTATTATATTAATTATTAAAAACATATTCTTTTTAACAAATAGAATGAATCAACAAAAAAGATATAACAAATTTTATTTATAATTTTATGCCAAAATTTCCATTGCCATAGACCAACAAAAATCTGCCAACATCGAATCAAACCTCTTTCCTTTATAACGATTTTCCATATCCATTATTGTTTGATGCTTTTCTGATTCGGTGGACAGCTGATTTTCGAACAGGTCAAGATGTGCATGGAGCCAATGTACTTTTAGTGACATATTTACCCCCATTTTTAATTTTTGTTTTATTTTTTATCATTTCTTTTTAATTTATTGTTATGACAACAATTTACTACCAGTTAATTGGTTTAAATTAATAAACAACGATTATTCGGGTTCCAAAATTAATAAAACTTAAAATTGATATTAAAAAAAACCTGAATGAATCTAAACATTATGTAAACGCAAAAAGGCATTCTTTGGATAGGAGAAACGAAAACCACTTTCAGAACCCCATCATTTTTTTTGTTTAAATTAATAAATAACGGTTTTTCAGGTTCCAAAATTAATAAAACTTAAAATCGATATTAAAAAAAACCTGAATCAATCCAAACATTCTGTAAACGCAAAAAGGCATTCTTTGGATAGGAGAAATGAAAACCAATTTCAGAACCCCATCATTTTTTTGTTTAAATTAATAAATAACGGTTTTTCGGGTTCCAAAATTAATAAAACTTAAAATCGATATTAAAAAAACCTGAAACAATCTAAACATTCTGTAAAAGCAAAAAGGCATTCTTTGGGTAGGAGAAACGAAAACCACTTTCAGAACCCCATCATTTTTTTTGCTGTTGCACTGTGTTATTTGCCTCGTAGTCAAAAATAGTAAAAATGTTTGAGGTCTGGAGATCTTGGTGGCCAACTGATCTAAACCGATCAGTATTTGTAAAAAACTAAAACAAAATAACGTTTAAAAAAGTTTCACTTTCTAGTTCGGACTATCTGTTTTGACTGGTCAATTGGAGATACGAACGCAGCACTATAGGTATTATTAAATATTTTCATTCATTCATAATTTAAGATGTAGTTTAGGTAACAGTACATGGAAATATGATATCGGGTCTATTAAATACGCTACGGATAATCAACTAACGTGTTTAAGGATAATTTCTTGAAATTTTTGACAGATATATGGTATATAAAGCATGCATTATAATAGTTTAATCAGGAACAATGGCTTATACACGTAAAAAAATGTAATTTGATAATAAAATACAAGTGGAAAGTCACCTTTGTAACAAACCGTCCGGGATGTATATGATACGTGTTAACATACCCGGCATTATTGTGCGTAGTCATTTTTGGTGCCTTATAAGGCGCTGAACTTTTTTAACTGGACACATTTTACACAATGTTTGTTATTTTTGAGGGCCTTTCTGCTACCGACTCATTTAAACCCCCCTTATTTTGGATAGATTGCAGATAAACTATCTCTTTATTCATCGCTACCTTAAATAATATCAAATTTTATTTAAAAAAAAGTCAAATACACATATGTTAGACAAAATTTTAATATTTTAGTTAATTTGTGGTTTTAAAACAAAAATGCACGTTTTTGTGAAAAATCTATGCGTATTTTTGTTTCAATATAAAATAAAATACAAAGAAACTGAGTGTCCAGGGTTAAATATGAAAAATCAAATATCGTATCTCCTGCTAAACAATACAAACCACTAGCCACTAGTTATCTCTCTTAAGATCTTGTACCTTTAAACTTGTAGAAATGTTATCTATACCTACATGTTTATGGCCTTAAGAAGATTATACCTTTATACAAGTAAGCCGGTAAAAATTAAAATCCCCAGCCACCTATTGGGCAATAAATTTTTGATATATTTTATTGTGTGGCAATATCTGAATTTCCACGTTTTATAGTTATGCTGAGATTGTATGGCCAATTTTTTGGGTTTACACCTTTAAATTACACAGTGTAACAGCAAAAAAAATGATGGGGTTCTGAAAATGGTTTTCGTTTCTCCAAAGAATGCCTTTTTGCGTTTACAGAGTGTTTAGATTGATTCAGGTTTTTTAATATCGATTTTAAGTTTTATTAACTTTGGAACCCGAAAAACCGTTATTTATTAATTTAAACCAAAACAAAAAAAAATGATGGGGTTCTGAAAGTGGTTTTCGTTTCTCCTATCCAAAGAATGCCTTTTTGCGTTTACAGAGTGTTTAGATAATCTTTATTTTTTTCCGAAAATGTTGGACAGTGTTATTAGTTAAAAACTATGTCAGCACACAGAGAAAAAAGATTATTTGAATTAAATAAATTTTATTTATATCAAATAAATTATTTATTTCGATATACCCAAATAAATGTTCTTTTGAATGTAAAAAAATATTTATTTGTTTTAATTTATTTAATTTAAAATTAATTTATTCAACGCAAACAAATATTATTAGTTTGTATGAAATAAAACCAAGTAAACACATGTATTTTTTTAAATTAAAGAAATGTTTTTATTTACGTAAAACAGATAATTTATTTCATTTAAAATTAATTTATTTAACTTAAATACCTATAATATTTGTATTAAAAACAATTTATTTGGATTAAGAGATATTTTTTTTTAAATTAAATAATTATTATATTTGAATTAATAAAAATTATTTATTCAGATTAAAAGATATATTTTTTAAATTAATAATGTTTTTTTTCATCTAATCTAGTAATTAATATATATTGGTATATTGGGGAGTAAAAATAAATTAATTTTTTTATGAATAAACACTAATCTTTATTGCATAAAAGTCTTATAAATACATATAGGAAACCCTAAAATATACAAATACTTCACTAACTTAAAAAATACTTATGTTAATTTTAACTTAATGTTAATGTGTGTTGCATAAATCCACCAGGGTCTGCAAATAATAATGATAAGTAATTATTTAAATTACTTACCTTTAAAAACAGGAATAAATTTCTCAAGACCCCATTCCTTTAAAAGGTCCTCCATAGTATAAAATAATATAAAATTATTTATTATTTTATTATAATGCCACACAACACTTCTCATCAACACCCTGCTCTAAATTGGAGTCTCTAAAATCACGTACATACAAAATGGAAAGCCCATTGGGTGCCTGCAGTCGCCTGATTTACAGCAACCAATAGGATGCAAGTCATGCTACTTCGACGTGAGCAAAAAAGTTTAAATAAACCTCTGCTTTAAATCAAATTACAATTTTTTTGTATTTAAATAATAATTTGTTTATTTTAAATAATTAATTTTTTTGAAATAAATCAAAATTATATTTTAAAATTAAACCACGTTTTTAAAAAAATAATATTTGTTGTTTAATTTAAACTTTTTAATTTTTTAAAACAAGTAAATTGTTTTTATAATTTAAGAAAGTCAACTTTTATTTAAACAGAATAAGTGCAATTTTAAAATAAAAGTCAGGTACTTTGTTTTAAATATATATTTTAATAAATTTGCTTTTTCCTTTTAAATAAAGACAATTATTCTTTTTAAAGAAATGTTTTTGAATTAAATTTATATTTTTTTAAATGTAATAAATAAAATTAAACAAACATTCTTGTTTGAATTAAAACATCTTTTTTCTCTGTGCATCTAACACTACTTTAATCGATAAAATCATAGAAAGCTGTTTTTATATTTTGACGATGTGCACCAATATTAATATTACTTAATTGGAAATTTTGTCGAGGAAAAATGCTAATTATGTTTACATTTCTAAATTAATCTAATTTTAACTGTAAAATCTAAGGCAATAAAAAATTTTAAGTCCGTAACATAATTAATTTGTTAAAATATACAAATACATACATACATTGTGGCGTGTAAATAAATCATTTGATAAATTATTCGTTGGGTAGAGTTAAATATTTAAAGTATTTTTTTAAATTAAATTAGTTTAATTATGTTCGGCAGTTCCTCATAAATAAATAGAGCAGCGTGCGGGAAACAAATTACTTCTCATACTGTTTATTTTCATTTAGCCCAAGCGTTGAAATTACACGGCAAGCAATTTATTAATAATTGTTAGCAATTTAGGGCCATTGAATGGCCTCTTTTATTTGTACTTATCGAGAATATTATAATAGATTTCTACGCCTTCGTGCGGACGTGTTAAAAGATAAGTACGATCATCTGGAGTATGTACTTTATGACACTGACAAGCCCCTCGTTAAAGAGGATTAATTTCTTCTAAGATACCTTGTACTATTTGAACTTGCCTATACGATATACATAAAACAACCATTAGGCCGGCCTATCGTTGAATGTTCTAATTGGGAAGTGAATATTAGTCTTGTCACAGGATGGCAACATCGCCAGCATTAACTTTTCAATCCACCTATCTCAAATGATCTTCGCATCGGAAGTTGTTATTACTCCTCGCACATTTATTTCGCCACTACCAGCTTTGGCATCAAAAGTTTTTTAAAAGCGAGCAATGTTCTATCTGGACCTAAACAAGATCAAAAATTTCTCAAAACCGTTTTTAGGATATGTGGGGGAATCAGTTTGACCACAAAAACGACCTTCACTTAAATTTAATTTGGTCGAATTTTACTTTAGATAGTTGGTATCACAGTCATTGGTTTGACAGTTAATGTCAAAATCGATTCGCCATGCCGTCCTTTATTTACTTATTCACAATAAGCGGCTGTTAATGTTAAAGAAGAAAAAAAGGATTTTCTTTGTTGTTAAACAACATTTAATGCCAGAAAAGTCTCGTAAGTACTAGAAAAATCATAAAACTATTATAACCAATAGGCAAAATATTATGCTGTTTAAAGTAGAGCCAACCTATAAAATCAAATACTTATTATTATCTTAAAATGATTTAAATCAAATATTTTTATAGAGCGCCATCTATGAAACAATAGGGGAATCTGTGTGTCACCGTCAAATGTCAAATTTTTGTAATTTAATAAACACAGATTATAAAGGTTATAAATCGAAATATATTTCTTGAAAATGGACAGTTTTTTACAGTGAAAGTAAAGAAAATGTTTTATGAGCACTTTACAGTGGAGTCCGTGCCCGAATTTAAGTTATAGTTTACTGCCGGCGAAATTAAAAGGTCAGTACAATGTTCATATAAACTTTTCAAATATTGGCGTTGAGAAACTATTTAATATTTTTGTATTTTTGTATTGAGATAATAAAATAATTTTCACATTTAGTATTATTTTACAAGAAAGGCACTTTATTTTAACGATTGTATGACATTTGACAACTGTCAACTAACTTCAGCCCATGACTAAAGCGCCATAAAGCCACAACTTGTCAATGTGTATTTAAAAGCTCACTTAGTGTCATGGAAACATGTACAATAGAGGGCGTTTTAAAGGTGGGAGTAGAAAAAAGATATTTAATACAAAAATTCTCACATTACATTTAAATGTTAGTTTTAAATTTTAAAGTGGTAATTTTTGGATTAAATATATATCAATTTATCGATTATCAGTTAAATGACTTTACAAATTCAAACCAAAACTTTTTATTTTTAACAATTTTAAATTGATACATTTTTAACACAAAATTTAAGATTAATAAAATAATAAATGAGTATTAATTATTTGTATTACAACTTTGTTAGGTTATATTGTAAGGGCAAAATAATGAATTAAAACATAAATTAAATAATTTATTTAAGACTATTCCACTCATTACTTTATGGACCAATCAGATCGAGTGGTTTTTCAGTTTTGCAGCGATAAAACTACTATTTAGGTGAAAAAAACACACGTTTATACGAGTTGCAACCAATTGGTTGCTATTCGAAAAATAATTGTCAATTTTAAAACAAAAATGTCAAAAAATATGCGTTTTGGTCAAAAAAATCATACAGAAATTGAATCGGCAGTTAATTCTAATTAAAAAAGAAAAATAATAATATCAATTTAAATTGATTAAAAATAAAAGTTTTTGGTTTAAATTTCTCGAGAGTCATTAAAATGAAAATACCACTTTAAAATTTAAAACTAACATTTAAATGTAATGTGAGAATTTTTGTATTAAAAATCTATTTTGCGTTCATAATGACTTCATTATAACACCGCTTTCGGTGCTGTAATGAGATACTTTATCCCACCCAAAATTTTAATTTTATAGGTTGGCTATACTTTAAACAGCATAATAGTTTGCATATTGGTTATAATATTCTTATGATTTTTCTAGTACTTACAAGACTTTTATGGCAATAAATTTTGTTTAACGCCAAAGAAAATTATTTTTTTCTTCTTTAACATTAACAGCCGCTTATTGCAAATAAGTAAATTAAGGACGGCATGGCGAATCGATTTTGACATAACTGTCAAACCAATGACTGTGATACCAACTATCTAAAGTAAAATTCGATCAAATTAAATTTAAGGTATAAAATTAATTTTTTTATAGAATTTTTGCAAAATAGATAAAATAGCGAACATTTTGAAATGTTTGTCGTGAAATTCGCAGATCTTCAATAGAGGCTGAGTTTTATAGACCACATATTTTAAGTGACCCCATAAGAAAAAGTCTAATGGTGTCAGATTTGGAAATCTGGAAGGCCATTCTAATGGTCCTCTTCCACTGTTCTGGGTAATTCTGATCCACCAATATTTCCAAAGTTTTGGGAAAAAATTAAACGCCGAAAAAACAACCATTGTCGTAGCTTAAGGTATGTTTGGAAGATTGTCTTTCTTGGGCACAAAACGTATGTTATGTGCTGCTCTGGTGAAGAGGTATGTCTAGACCGTATTTTGGGCGGGTATATATACCCAGTGGTAAACAATATTAACTTGTTTGGTGCTAATCATAAAGCTGTAATTCATGTATCCTCAGTAATTCAAATGTTACAATAATGTTTCGTATTGTTACAGTTGGAGTTTGGATACGAATGCGTGTTCAACGAGACAATGGAGCTGAACAATTACAACACATATGCTTCGACGAAATATTCGAATAAAAACCGAACGCTGTATCTGGCGTTAAACAGACATGGGCAGCCGAGGAAAGCCCAGAGAGCGCGTCATCAAGCGGGCTTGGGTAAGCTTTCCTCTTACACGAGGGTTTTATTAAGGACCGTCGATACGGATCGAGTCAGAGAGATTCACCCGAAGAGGCACCACGGCTGCTCGACGACCTTGACGCATCAAAACCACCACCGATCGGCGATGTTTAGCAACGACCAGCAAACGCCACGATGTCGAAAACGAAAAAAGAAGAAAAAGAAAAAAAGAAAATGCCAAGAGGACGAATTCGATGCGGAGTTGTGCCAAAAAAGACATAGTGCAGTTAAGTGCGAAGACAATGACAATGAGTGCCAAAGAGACAAGGAACATAAGAGTAATAGTGATAAACCATTAGTGAGTGTTTCGAATGCCAAGAAGAAGAAGAAAAAGAACAGGAAGGGTGTGAGAAAAAGACTGGAGAACGAGAACGTAAGCACTGAAATGACCGTCACATCGACTGTGACGGTGACACCCGATCCTGCTGATGAGGACTACAACAACGAATCATCGACACACATCGATTGGGAAGATTCCACATCTCTTCCCGAAATCTCTATGGCAGTGTCAGACGCCACCAGACTCACAGCTGAACCTCACTTAGATTCTGACTGACTCCCACTTCCCCTTTCTTCCTCCTTTTATTTATTACTTCTATTTATTGTATGTAATTGTAAATAATTAACTATATAAGTCAATATACCTCACCATTGATTAAGACTTTTCTTTGCATCATTCACTTTAACTCAAACGTCAACTTAAAATCAAAGCCCGCAAGGGATTTTCTTCGCGAGTTTGATGCCAAATTTTTTTAGCCTCACCAGCACCACTTTTGACAAGCTGATGACGACTAGCTAAAATTCTTCAAGAAATTCAAAGCTGACAATGCGAAATTTTTGGCATCAAACTCTTAAATTCATCATTTTAGTTGTCTCTAGGAGAATCTCATCATCAATCACATCATTTCTAAATAAATGTATTTTGTAGCCCCCTTTGGATACTGTCAGTGGAAAAATTATAACTTCGTCTTTGTAAGGATATTATTAACTAGTTTTTACTAGACTTTCCGAATTAAGCAATGTTTTTGTTTCTGGTTAAGTAGTACTTAGTTGTACATACTTAAATAATATCCCATGATAAATAAAACTTTTAAAATTGCTTAATATGGAAAAGTGCAAAATAATTTATTTACTTAGATAAATATAAAATTTGCAAGCACTTAATGTATCTAAAGATGGGATTGTGATAATTTTGCTTCATCTTCACTGGAACTGTTTAGAATAGGATTTTTTGTATATTTTATCAGTAATTGTAAGCAAAGTTATGACTAAATAAACTTTTTTGGCAGACTAAAAAATTGTATTATAAAATGTTATCATGAGTCAGTATTATCTAACACAGAATTTTAGCTAGATTTATGTAAAATTTAAAATAAAAAAGTGAAATATTAACCGGTATATTAATTAACTAAACAAACAATCGCCAATGAGAGCTAACAAGGTAGGTAAATCATATTTAATAAGAAAAAAAACCTAATGATCCCAGATAAACCCTTATCTCATCTTAAACACATAATTAATGATACTGGGAAAAATCACGATAATTACGTTTTTTTATCTGATTTAATTGGTGTTCAGCTCATACTTCAACCCCTTTTCGGGCGGCATTTTCTAGGGCCTTAAGAGGGCAATAAATTTATTATGTAAATAGTTGGTGACTGAATTCTATCATACGTATCCCTCTTAATTCGAAGAACCCTTCCGCACCGCTAATAGAGAAATAATCTCAGCCTGGACCTGTGGCGAGAGGAAAATTATTGCCGCCCTTAACTGACAGTCAACCAGTGGCGGCTATTTTTATTAGCAATAAATTTGAATGTATGACAGGTTTTTATTATACAGGGTCCAAAAAATACACCCGAATTCGATTAATAATATAATCAATTTTTAAAGATATGACACCAAAGTTATATTTTAGATAAAATATTATTTTTATCTATTTTGCGTTCATAATGACTTACTTTAATGAGATACTTTATCTCACCCAAAATTTTGTTTTTATAGGTTGGCTATACTTTAAACAGCAAAATATTTTGCATATTGGTTATAATATTTTTATGATTATTCTAGTACCTACAATACTTTTCCGGCAATAAATTTTGTTTAACACCAAAGAAAATCCTTTTTTTTCTTTAACATTAACAGCCGCTTATTGTAAATAAGTAAATTAAGGACGGCATGGCGAATCGATTTTGACATTAACTGTCAAACCAATGACTACGATACCAACTATCTTAACATGCTTAAAAGACTCAAAGCATGATCCTAAGAATATTCTTACTGGCCTATAGGCAGGTTCTTAGAAGGTGCAAAGTTTTAGTGGTACAAATTAGTCTACTCTAAACATATGCTTAGAATGTTAAGAAAGTAATTGCTATAGAAAGTTCATTTAGGGATATTCCTGTTAAGCATATTTAGTTCAGTTACCTTAATATACGTTACTAAATAATAGTAAAATATACCATAAACTACGTATAAAGGTATATACCTATACTTAAGTACCTAATTAGTAATTAATGTTAAATACTAAGTAAAAAACGCAACCCAAAATATTTTTTTATAGTTATTTGTCAAATAAAAACAATATTTGATAAAAAAAATACTTTTACTATAGGTATTTTATTTTATGTTAAAAATAAATATTTATTAATTTGTATACCGATTTTTTATTTCTGAATTAACATTTTTATGTATAATAATCCTTACTATCTTCCACTTCAATCTAATATGACTTATCCCACAAAATTTTCCAATTTTACTTTTTATAAAATAATGTCATAAAACTTATGGTTTAGAGGTCAAATTGTTTATTTAATATTTTTAAATAAATATATATTAATATGTCGCAAAATTTAAGGGGACGACAAATACATTTCACTGTCATGTTATGACAGTGAGGCGTATTTGTCGTCTCCTGAAGAATTTTACGAATGTAGAATACAACATATTAGAACGTGGGTATCTGACATATTTGGAAATATTCTCAAAAGCTTCCTAGAATCTCAATAAGAAACCTTTTAAGAACATTCCAAAAACGTATTCTTAAAATGTTCTTAGGATGCTTTTTAGGAAGGTTTTAAGAAGCTTTTAAGAATCTTATTGCATCATTAAAAGGGTATCTATTGAATGTTTTAAAAATCCCTAAGAACATTCTTAGCAATAAGGGAAGGTTCTAAGAATATTCCATTATTCCGGGTCATATCTTCTTAGAAGATTCTTAAAATCAAATTTTGCTATCAGGTAACTAAGCTAAAATCACGCTTTAACGTATTAAGAAGAACAAAATAATGTGATTTACTTGAAATATCTTGTGCTATTAATAATTCTTATAATAAAATGTTCAATGACTATGCCAAAAATCGTGGGGCGCTATATCGGAATTAATTAAAAGTACATGCTTCTTAAAGAAACATAACCAAAAAGCTTTGCGGCAGGTGATGTGAAAAAAAAAATTTTGTAAATCAATCGGTTATAATTAATAAAAACTCGAATTTTTGGGATGAAATATTAAGTTAACCTAAAGTTATTAACAATACTAACAAAGAGTGAGATCTGAAAGGCCCTGTATACGTTATACAGAGTATAGGAAACGTAATTTTTATTATAGACTATTTGGCAAGATGGTTATTAAATGCAGACCTGTTATTAAAGGAATAGTTTTCGAGTTAAAAGAAGGTTCGAAGATGCCTCCCATTTTAATTTTCTTATCGTTTTATAGGATTTGCGTGTTTCGGCATTTTTTGATCTTCGTTCAAGATTGACACAAAAGAAACAGTTTAAGTTAATAAACTGCTATTAGTTTCGTTTAAAAAACAAGTCGGGTTTGTGCTAATGAATTTAAATCGAAATGATCAAAAAACGTTATTTTTTCTCTTAATTGCGATTGAAGAAGATATATTGTCAGAGATTGATGGCACAGATAATCACAAGGTCGTTTATGAAATTTATCATCCACACACAAACTATGAATAACTTAAAAATGACAATTAGCCTTAAGATAATATTAAAATAGGAGGTAGCACCAATGAGTGTCATATAAATTCAAATTGCATAGAATTATAAATGATAAACAACTTATAACTATGAGGCATTTATTAAAATATTTAGCCGTTAATCAAAATATTATAAATACATTTACGTATCGCTAGATTATACCTTGCCCATATAGCTGATCAAACCAATTTATTAGAAAATTGCTAGAGCCTCTTTGCCTATACTTATAACTAATGCATTATTGCGTATACTCAACCCCCGCATCAATTTTATTTTAATTTGATAACGATTAAATTATCGTCGCAAAATATTACTAAGGAATTATACAGGGTTAAACCTTCTCATGATTTCTTCTGATAAACATGGCTTTTATGTTTTGAAAGAGAACAATTTTTTTGTTAACGTCTAAAATATGACAAGCTAAAATGATGATATGCTAAACGACGCTTACATGACGTTTTCAAATGCGAAAATTTTAATCAAAAATTACGTTTTTTGTCGGCAACCTGAAATGACGTCTGGCTAAAATGATGACAGAAGAAAAAAATGACTGTCGCCTAAATAAAATGATGACAAGCTAAAATGACGACATGGATTTTTGACGTTTTTAGCCAAGTTAAAATGATGACAAGCTAAAATAATGACAACCTAATATGATGATCATCTAAAATAATTACCAGCAATATAATTACAAGATAAAATAGCGATGAGCTAAATGATAACAAGCTAAAATGAAGACATGGGTTTTTGAGAGTCAAAAATATCAAGATAAAATAATGACAAGCTATATTACCCAATCTCGTGGAGTTAAAATAATGACAAGCTCAAAATGATGACTGGTTAAAAAAATGACTGTCGACTAACTAATTTTATTTAAAAATTACGTTTTTTGTCTGCAACCTGAAATGACGACTGGCTAAAATGATGACAGAATAAAAAAATGACTGTCGACTAAATAAAATAATGACAAGCTAAAACGACGACATGGATTTTTGACGTTTTTAGCCAAGTTAAAATGATGACAGGCTAATGACAAGCTAATATGATAACAAGCTATATTAGAGTCAAAAATAACAAGATAAAATAATGACAAGCTATGTTACCCAATCTCGTGGAGTTAAAATAATGACAAGCTAAGACTGATTAAAAAAATGACTGTCGACTAACTAATAAATGACAAGGTAAAATAATGACAATCTAAAATGACGACATGGGTTTGAGGAGCAACTTTTCAAATAGCATAATGTCCTTCAAAATAAATTTTCGGTAAAATGCCAAAAACTTGTTTCTATATATGAAAGAAATAGGTTTTCCCGAAAATTTATTTTGAAGGAAATAATGCGATTTGAAAAGTTGCTCCTAATTTGATAAAAAATATAACGCATGCCTTAAATCTAGATCCCAGAGGTTTTCTTTGGCTCTAAAGACAAAACATTTTAAAGCATTTTTTTAAGCTAAGTGAATTTATTATTATTTTAACACATTTTTTTAAATGCAGATTATTGAAACTGACAGGATGATTGTAGTTAATTTTAACTGTTAAAATATTCTTAGGTTAATTAAATCAGCGTAGCCCCCTATGTCTAAAGGAAAAGCAAATCAATTTCGAATAAAACAAAAAAAATAAAGGTATGATTGTTTTGCGTTTATCGTGATTAAACATTTTATTGTTTACGACAAGCTGTCAATCATGATTAAACGCATTAAAGTTAAAGAAGCCGAAATATCAAATCGAATTAAAGTTTCTTATTAAAGACCTTTACAATCATTGCGTTCGTTTTGAATAAATTCATAAACACTTCGTTTTATTATAAGTATGAGGTTCAACTATAAATAGCTTAAGAAAAATTGCAATAACAATTTTTGCTATTGTTAACTGGGTTAGTTTTCATTAGACCACCTATATAGAATGAACTATTTCCTGGTCAAGCATTAGATTACTTCAATTGTTTCACGCACACAATACCAAAACCATTTAATTAAACAATTAAAACTCCAACCCCTGGCTAATGAGAACAATTTAGATTATCGCTTAAAAAAATCAAGACACCCGAAAAGGACAACTTATTTAAAACAATTTGTATTCAGATATTTCCGAGGCGATAAAAATTTTACTTATACTTTTTTGAAGTTAATAGGGTAGTTACACAAAAGGGTGCGCATATCTAAATAGTTAAATCAGTAAAAATGTCATTTATACTTGACACCAATCAATTGATAAGGGCGACAGAAAAATCATTTCACAGGAAATTGAAATTTCAAAACCGTTTATCTCAAAAACAATACCAGATCGATTTAAGATTTTTTTGTTAAAATTTTTTTAATAACGTCTTTACCAGAAACAATGCAGTAATTTAGTAAAATTGGAAAAAATCGGCCATGGAAGAAAAAATGCTGTAATTAAAATGAAACGAATACAAAACAGTTACCGAAATGATTTTTAACTTCAACGAATCAGAAATTGAATTTTCTTTAAAATGATGTTTCGCAAAAAAACTTTTTTAGTGAGAGTAGTAGTGAGAGGGTGCTACATTAGACTGGGCCAAAAAAATCAAATATTTTTTTTTGAAAAGTTTATCGAAAATATTGTTTGAAAAATTATGGTGAAAGTCCATAATATTAATATTAAGTCTATCATTGCAATTTTAGATTTTTTTTATCCTGAGCGAGTTTTTGTCTGAACTCCCAAACCATTGAGTTTAACAAAATTGACTTAAGAATATTTTTTGAAGAAAATTGAATGCTCTACAAAAAAGGTTTTATTGGAATTTCCCGTCAGATGAACCGTTTTCTTACAATCATGCATTACAAATTGGTATAGTTTTACAATTTGATCTTTTAACTTTGGAATTTTATAATTCAGGTAAAAATCGGTACCCGGAAAGATAAAATTTGAAGTCAAAACTAAATTCTTGTTTTTACCGCTCTAGATTTTTTTTTGGGTCAGTTAAAAACTTGCATGGATTCTTCTATCGATGATAATTTATGTTATTGATAAAATTACTGAAAATTAAAAAAAAAATAACACAATAGAATTTTTTCGCTTTAATTAAGAAGCTATTTTCTTTGGAAAATATTATTTTCACTGTTGTTTTTTCATTTAAAATTGTTAATTAGTTCTATATTACACATTTATAAAGAAAAAAATCAAATTATCATCTATAAAAAAATAAATCTACAGAGGAAAAAACAACAATTTCGTTTTGACTTCAACTTTAACCTTGTAAAGCATATGATTTCCCATAAGAATATTTATCAGTTTTTTTTATGGGTACTGATTTTTACATGAATTACAAAATTCCAAAGTTAAAAGTTCAAAATGTAAAACTATACCAATTTTTAAGGCATGATTTTAAGGAAACGGTTTATCTAAGGGAAAATTTTATTTTTACCTTTTTTGTAGAGCATTTAATTTTCTTATTTCCAAGTCAATTTTGTTAAACTCAATGGTTTGGAAGTTCTGAGACCAAAATTAAAATTGCAATGATAGACCTCTTAATATTAATAGTTGATTTTTTTGGCCCAGTCTAGTGCAACATAGAATATGTTTAACACTGGAATTGTACTTAAATATTTATTGATATATCTTTACCATCCTGCCATCTATATAATGCAAAATAAACCTTGGATACTCATCAAAGCTTGCTGCAATTTTAAATAAAATCAATAAAGCGCTTGGTACGCCACCTAGGCATTGCAAAAAGAAGTATTTTATGTCAGCAGGAATATGTGCCAGTTTCCTGCTAGGTTTGGCGAAGCGCCAATATATCCACTGCAGCAGTGTCAGCTGTTATTCGTCTACGATGGCGACAAATTGTAACATCATAAGAAAAATGTTTAATAGAAGCTGCAGGAATTTTGTGAGATGTTACAGCAGGTCGGCAAAATCGACGTTTAACAGTAACAATTCACCGTTACCAATTTTATACGTTGTTGGAGGAACTGTGGCCATTTATTCAGCTTACAAATGCCAGGCTAAAAATAGTGTTCGAGCAGCCCAAACGAAAAATGTGAGTTAATTTTGACTATTTTATCAATTATACTTAATATAAATTAATGTTTCCCATAACGTGTTGTAAAAATGTGCACGTTGTATTTGGAGTTTTAATTGTTTAATTATTTAAAATGTTACCGCCATAAACATGTAAACAATCGTTAGTTTTATCATTCTTCAAATATTATTTAATTCAAACAAAATATTTTCGATTTAGGTAATAGGAGAAGATTAAATTCTTACGTCGAGTTAAATACCTTTTTAATAGGATGACATCAATAAATTTAAAAAAAGGGGCTTGTAATAAATTGTTAACGTGTCACCTCACCTGTAGGTTGCCTAATACAACAAATATTTACTTTGCTGAATAGGTACTTTGCAAACTAATTACTTTATCTATATATATCTTATTTAAATTGGAAAATTGCATTAGATAAAGGGAGAATGGTTTTTAAAGAATGCCTTGTAGGATAATTATATTATAGACTAAAATTAAAGGTATTTATGGTATTTAAGGCGCCTTTGTTGAGAAAAAAACAAAGAAGACATTGTAATGATTTAATGAATAGAATTAAGCCGACAATGGGAATTATTTTGGCGCCTTGTTAGAGAAAAAGCCGACACACGGTATTTTGTATCGCTAAATCTTTTGGTCCGGTTTAACAATGCTCAACCCACGCGTGGAAATACGATATAATGGGCCTGAACTATATATATAGTTATAGTTAATCCCTATAAACAAGGCAGTGATAGTGTCATAGAAACTAGAACCATGATAACTTTTCGTGATAGGAACCTAATAAATAACCTTTATGATCATGTTGTGTGGCCCGTGGTTCAATGGCTGACGTTTTTCTCGTAACAAATTGACCGTACACTCAATATGCCATTTTTAGCGCCAACCCCCAGATTTAATCAAATACCTCTTTGACATTTCTGACATACCTGTGTAGATAATAGGGTCACCTCAATTTGTCTTATTAAAAACTCATCCATAATCCAGGTAAATTTTTATAGGAAGACGAAAAAAAAGCTGTTAAACTCACCTCAAGGGAGAAAAGGTTCATACGCTTTGCCTCCGTTGAATATGATGGACAGCTGTACATGACACCTCAAGATTTTCTTGAGTCAGTTGTCGAAGCCGAACCGAGACGTAAGCAATAACCATAATATAAGTTTAAATAAAAATAAAAATTGTGCATTATGTAAAATAAAAACTAACCAAAATGATTTGTAGCTCGACTTAAAAGAAGAGTATTAACTCAAAAAGAGTTGGACAAAATTAGGGACTCAACTCCCACTTTAAGTCATGGTTCCCCACGGATGTTTAGAGCACTTAGAGACAAAGGAATAATTTCATACACTGAGTATTTATTCTTGCTATCAATTTTGACCAGTAAGTAACACAATAGTATTTAATTTAAACCTAATTAATTTTATTTTAGAGCCTCAATCAGGTTTTCGCATAGCATTTAACATGTTCGATACGGACGGTAACGAACGGGTCGACAAAAATGAATTTCTAGTCGTAAGTAAAAAAATAAGATATTAAATGCGTTTAAAACGTACTACGCAACTTTTTTAATTAATCAATATCAATATTATACAAAATCATAAACCAACTTGTTGTATACACAGATACGTAAACTATTGGCGGGAAAAAAAACTGAACGTGATATACCAGTAAGTCGAAAAAGCTACCAACATGAGCTTAACATGCCTGCGTGTGCCTTTCTTATTTAACAATGTTAAAAAATGTAATAATACTGTACTTACTGAAAAATGTTGTGAAAAAAATGTCGTAAATATGCTATGTCAGTGATGCGTTTGCACTAATATATGTAAAACCACATTTTAAATAACATATAGTTCAAACACTGGGCTAAAATAAGGTGCCCCATCAAGAAAGTTTTTTTCTTGAAATGTCATTTTATTCAAAATTTAGGTTCTTGACGGGGCACCACAAGGTCTGTTCGTGGGCCCTGCACTATTTTCAATAGTGTATCATCTACAAACAGTCCAGATATTGTTGTCTTCTTCCTAACTCTCCATGATTTAGATGGAAAAAATATTTAGTCACGCTTGGAAAGGAAAGAGAGGTCTTTCCAACGAAGAAACGGAAAAAATCATCTCTAACATTCAAGAAGCCTTTGTGGATGATGAGCAAGGTCTTCAAAGAAGACACACAGTGGATACGACTTTGTTGGTCCATTTTTTCGGTGCTAAAGGCACTACCGACCTAAACTTCGAGAATTTTAGGAAGTTTATGCTTTACTTGCAAACAGAAGTATTAGAGTTGGAGTTCAGTGAGTTTTCCAAGGGGTTGCCGACTATATCCGAAGTAGATTTCGCGAAGATATTGTTGAGATATACGTATCTAGATACGGATGAGTATGATATGTACCTGGATAGACTGCTGGACAGAATCAAGGACCCTCAAGGCATTACTTTTGAGGAGTTTCACGTGTTCTGCCAGTTTCTGAACAACTTAGAGGATTTCAGTATTGCCATGAGAATGTACACGTTAGCAGACCACCCCATTTGCAAGGGTGAGCTTTTTATTTACTATTTTTATAAATATATAACGTAATGTTTGTTTCAGACGAGTTTCACAGAGCAGTTAAAATTTGTACTGGTACAAACCTAAGCCCTCACTTGGTCCACACTGTATTCGCCATTTTTGATGATGATGGTGACGGGTTACTAAGTTATAGGGAGTTTATCGCCATTATGAAAGATCGTTTACATAGAGGCTTTAAGGTATATACAACTAAAAGCACTATATATTTAAAATCTATAACAAACATTAAATTTTCTTAGTTTCTTCGGCAAAGGCCACGTCGTTTAACGGTGTGGATCACCTGATGTTCTTACATCTCGCCTCTGTTCACTTAACAAGCGAGCATATAAGTTCAGGGAGTCCTTTGTTTTGATTGTGTTCCACTACACCAAGTTGCCCGACACTGATGAGACCCAATATAGTTCGAAACAGCTGTCTGTCGGTATTTGAAGTTGGTGGAACGCATTCAAAACAAAAAACTTTGGCGAGGCGTAGGTTCAATTTTTTCTTATAAAATCTATAATGTTTATTTTTAGTCTTACGCGAAAAATGAGGGTTGGGAAGCATTTAAAACCTGCATAAAGCAAGAAATGAAATCGCCATCTTAAGCAATATATTTATTAACTACCTCACATGTTTGTGATATTTTATGACAAATTAACTAATCGTTTTTTTAAATAATTTTAAAACTTTGTAAGCAATATTGCGTTTTTAATGTACTTACCTGTTGTTTCTGTATGTTGCCATATTTTATTGCTATAGTTACCTATGGACTGTTAATGTTTCTAGTCATATACAGTTATTATTTTTTGTTGTAATAATTTTAATAAATTATATTTTAAATGGGTTAAAATGGGTTTTATTCCTTTTCCAATCACAATCATATGAGTACGAGTATAAGAGACGTTTCACCCGTGTTTGCTGGGTGCGAATGTCCTTTGCGTTCCGTACTGTCCCCTATTTCGGGCTCGAGAGCGAGATGCGAATAGTTTTAATAGCCATTCTCGGGTTCGCCGAGCCGATGCTATACGCCCAGTAGGGTATAGAGGAGGAGGGACGGGAGGTGGTTTTTGGGGGACAATTACGCCGACTTAAAACTAAGTACGACGCGGAATCCCCCTAGACCAGTCGATTAGTATTACTCCAAACATTTGGGATTACTATTTGGAGTTGGGAAGTTGTTATTTCACTGCAGGGGTGTAGTTTCCTAATCGAGGCCTTCGTCTTGTTCGTTATTGTCATTGTCAATCACAATCATACTGGATGGAAAAATTATGCAACAATCTTTAGTAGTTCACTAATTTATTAAAATAATTTAAAACACCCTATTTACAACAATATTAGACAATAGATCGTTTTAAAAAGAATTAAATAAAAATAATGAGTCTATCAATGTAAAAAATTGAAAGACTATAAATAAGTACTGAGATTGTAAATAGCAATATTATTAATTAGGAGCAAGGCATGGGGGGGTTGGAGTAGCCATCTTTAAGAGTGGCAAGCCTTTGCTTAACCAAATACTCGCTTATTATTTCCGACACATGCTGCGGCTGATCCTCGTGTATAGCATGTCCAGACTTTGACAACACCTGCAGCTGAAATTTGCCTTGCATTTGACCCACAGTCAGAGCCGTATCGAGCCCGTGTATGTTCGCCAAAAGCAAGATTTTCGGCACGCGCAAATCCAAAAACTTTTGGGAGAGCCCTTTAAACCAGCCACTCCAAAAGTTCTCGGTTTTGCTCAAGTTTATCCGCCAGGTGTACTTGGGCGCATCGTCGTTATTAGCCGGTGGTGCGAAACCGTCCGTTTTTAGCGATTTCGGTAAGGGAGGCTTACCGCAATCGGTACAAGCCTCGCTACCACCCGAATCCTCCTCAGCGACCTCCGAGAGCGTGTAAGCCGAAGCTATAACCTCCCTGGCGGTTTTATTAGTCAAAACCTCGACCTCCGACTCCGCATCGCACTCATCCGCGGCGATTGTGCCGATTTTAATGCTAAAAGAATTTTTACGTGACCAAAATTATTTTAGCACCTAAAACACTTACTTGACAATTTGTCCGGGCATCGACACCTTTGCGGCCTCTATGTTATGAGTTTGACCCCCTTTGAAACTAAACAAACTCATGTAGTTTCACAATTTAACACTTACATTATTGCAGGAAAAGGTGGTACCTAATATGGAACAACGTCTCAAAATTTACTCACCACCATTGTATAGCATGCTGCAGGCTCTTGAAATTTGCAGGCCTTCCTCTTAATATGCTCTGCATTGAAGAAAGCGCATCCAGGGCTGTACCTTCCACAACATCTATAACACATAGCCCTGCTATATTCTTTATTATTTTTGATGCTTCTACAGCCACAGCTCCTCCCATGCTGTGTCCAACCAATACTATAGACTCATCAATCTCCTCCGATAGTTTATTGGCTACATCCACCACATCTCTATAAATACAATTTTTAGTTAAAAATTTATAGGCTTTATTATTTTTCAAGTACTTTGCCAAGGTTTCCAAAGATAGATCTCCATCATTGTTTGTAAATGTTTTACCATGTCCTCTCAAATCCAAGGCCACTATTTGGCAATCTATTGCTTCAAATATATCAGCCTACAATAATAACTTGGAATATTAAAATGTTAATAGTATAATATAATATTATTATCTATTAGTTTAATAAACGCCATTTTAGTCGCAAGTTTTAATTGGGACAAATATTATGGTATATGTTTCAAATTGCGTCATCAATGTCAAAAACCGATTTCTCGACATACGGTTAACCTAGCGGTTCCTTGGATTATAAACGTAAAAGAAAACAACAATAATTGTAATGTCTGTGCTTGGTTCAGAATTTGATGACGCAATTTTAAACATTCTCCGCGACAACTATATATAGTAACCAAATTGGCGTTAGGAATCTGTTTTACCGGCTTTCAAAATGACAGGGTTAGTTGGTCAAATTGTTTTGTAAAAATCAAAATTTCCACATTTTTTGCAAAATAATACATTTTACAAAAAGAGCACCTATTTTGACAACTGTATGACATTTGAGAACTCTTATTTAACTAAAAGCTAACTTCAGCCCATGACTAAAAAGCCCAAAAGCTACTGCTGCTAACTTTAGCCCATGAATTGTAGATTATTGTTTTTATAAGTAGGTAGGTATGTCAAGACATGTTAAAGAATGTGAAAAACACATTTTAGAACATAATATTTACTTACGGCAAATAAAGCCCATGTAAGGCCTGAATATCCACCTCCATGTAAACATAGTATAACAGGTCCTTTATCGCCTTTTGAGTATAAATTAAACTTTCCTTGATCCAAGGCAATAGTAAATTCTTTATCAAAGTATTTATCCCATTTTGTAGGAAGAAAATTTTGACTTGAACCAGATGTCGGGCTAAAAAATATAATTGTCAACAAAACTAACCTTAAATCCTGGATATAACTTACCCTGTACGTTTATTTCGACGACTCAGCAGAGATTTACGTAAATCCGACATTTTCAATAATAAATAAATAAAATTCAATGTAAAATACTATAAACAAACTTCTAACCTGTGACTGGCCTTGAAAGTAAAATATAGGTTATAAAAAAAAGATTTTTCTTTTCAATTAATTAATAATGTTTCATTCACAATAGTCGTTATATTTTTAATTAAATTGGAGCATATTCATGCCACCATAACAGGAATTTATTGTTTTATCATTATGAATGAAGTTAGCTGTATTCACAATGTGGATTGTGGCTGTATTATTGTTTTTTAATGGCGGCCGAGAGGAAGAAGAGGAGGTGAGCGGGAAATTCAAAAAGGAGCATTATTTTATTCAATTAATGGTCAAGATAATTAACAGGTTTATAATCAGAATGTGAATTTAAATTGGGTGGTGATGTAATTGAATGAGAGACTAAAATGAAAAATTTGCATTTATTATTCACATTTTAATATAAAACTGGAAAACAGGGAGCATATAGATAAAGCACATAATATATGCATATTAGTTTTGGTTTTGATTTTCAGTTACAATTATTATTGTCCTGAAATAATAAATGTACAATTAACTCAAATAAAACATCCCTTTTTATAAATACTGATTCTATATTTGAAATTAAAATTTTTAATAAGTCTAACAAAACAGAAATAACTTAAAATTATTATCTTACAAATTTAAATGCAAGAAATTTTACTAAAATGATATGTTTATAAAATAATTTCCATAAATCATAAATAAACTAATATAGTACAAAACATTACACAAAGATACTCCACAAATATTTAATAAAATCAGTTTTTCATGCTATTACTATCATCAGTTATTACCTTAATTTTACAATAAGAAAAACTGCTTTATGTGATATCAGTCTTGTTAAAATTTTAATTATTTTAGTTAAACTACAATGACTTACTCGTATGTTTTGGGGAAAATGGGTCCCCACTATTTCCTTAAAATAGTGGGGGTAAACATTTTCCTTAAAAAATGAATGAGGTTTTAAAAGCCATCAATACACTGTGATTGAATTTTTAAATAGTACATAAATAAAATTAATTTCACAAAGAAGAAAATGTCTTTTAATCAATTGCATGTTAATTTAAGGAGTGATGTAATTATTTTGTAGTATATTAATAACTTGGCTTAAATTATTTACTCCAAATAACAATTATGGTAATAAATAGACATACAAAACAGAACAAAACTGGTCTTTATGTGAATCTTACTCTTGTTTAAAAAAAATTATTGCACAAATTTAAAATATTAATAACCTGTTAATTAACATGTGTGGCATGTTAATTAGTGAGGCAGTAGTTAAGTAACCGAGGTAACCTAGTAATTGACATGCTAAATTTTCGTTAAGTTGCATTGCCTTTTATAATGAATTAAAATTACAAGTAACGAGTAAGTTCGACGATAAAGAATCAAAATAAATTATTTATTTAGTAATCAGATCTAACAATAGGTCACAGTATGCATGACGTTAGGCGGACAAAAATTCGGGGTCCGTATGTTGTCCCCGGGCCACAAAAAAATGCCCCTGTTATGTTTTGCTTATTTTTTTGTGGTTAAAATTGTTCGCCGTTAATATTAGATTAAAAAAGGAATAAGAACACATTATCGATGAATAATCCACACTGACGAATTAAAATATATTGCATCACTTTGAAAAAGATTGTCTTGGGATAGTAAATATTTTTGTTCCTTAGAAAATAATAGTCCACAGTAACAACATTATATGTACAAGAGCTAGCAAGAGGTCTCCAGCAAAATGCAGCGACACAACGCAAGGCAAACGGGCGGCACGCTGCGACAATGCGTCCTCGTCAAGCCGGCCTTCGCCGTCGACGTCGTTTTGATCGAGGCGGCTTTGGAAGCCGGCGGTGGCGGCGGCTTTTTCCTCTGCCCCGCCGTCGCCGGCCGCCCGGGCTAGAGCAGCTTCTCGCCCACCGTCGAGCTAGGCGTGCTGCAACTGAATGTCACCTCTTCGCTCACGTCCACCGGCTGTCAGTTGTCTAGCTCGTTCATCACGAACTGCCTCAGTCGCTCCAGGTACACCGAGTACAGTTCAACGTCGTTATGACCTGCACCCTGAAAATGCCACAGATTCAAAATAATGTCATCGCTTCTCAAATTAACATTATTTTGATCACAATCCACACAACAAGGTCTGTTCTATCTCATGCTAAACACTGCACAGAGTTTAACGGCGGCCATTTTTGTTGTCTACAATTATTGTGCTTTGGGTTTGTGCTGTTAATAATTGTTTTAAACGTTGGTTTTTTTACAGAGGCACTTGTGAGCCTCAAATAAGGCCTTTAAGTGCTAAGGACAACCATTTTACTCCTCTTTTATAATAAATATACCTTATTCTATCAGGGCTGTCAAATGACAATTTGAAGGTTAATTTGTGGGTTATAATTTAACCTTAAAATTGACATTTGACAGTTTTATGACAGCCCTGATGGAATAAAGTTTATTTTTTACAATAGAGGAGTAAAATGGTTGTTCTTAGCACTTTAAGGACTCTTTTAAGGCTTACTATGAGAAACATAATCTGTATAAACAGAGCACAAACCCAAAGCACAAAAATTGTTAACAACAAAAATAGCCGCCGTTAAACTGTGCATTGTTGCAATGATTTTTTGTATGTTTAGTTCGAGACAGAACAGACCTTGTTGTGTGGATTGTGATTTTGATATCACTATGCATTCAATATTAAAAGTTAAAATGACATTAAGGCCCAGTTGCATAACAGTTAATAATGCCACACAACCCCAATTTAGCGAAAAAGATTCAAAATAATGTCATCGCTTCTCAAATTAACATTATTTTGATCACAATCCACACAACAAGGTCTGTTCTATCTCATGCTAAACACTGCACAGAGTTTAACGGCGGCCATTTTTGTTGTCTACAATTATTGTGCTTTGGGTTTGTGCTGTTAATAATTGTTTTAAACGTTGGTTTTTTTACAGAGGCACTTGTGAGCCTCAAATAAGGCCTTTAAGTGCTAAGGACAACCATTTTACTCCTCTTTTATAATAAATATACCTTATTCTATCAGGGCTGTCAAATGACAATTTGAAGGTTAATTTGTGGGTTATAATTTAACCTTAAAATTGACATTTGACAGTTGTATGACAGCCCTGATGGAATAAAGTTTATTTTTTACAATAGAGGAGTAAAATGGTTGTTCTTAGCACTTTAAGGACTCTTTTAAGGCTTACTATGAGAAACATAATCTGTATAAACAGAGCACAAACCCAAAGCACAAAAATTGTTAACAACAAAAATAGCCGCCGTTAAACTGTGCATTGTTGCAATGATTTTTTGTATGTTTAGTTCGAGATAGAACAGACCTTGTTGTGTGGATTGTGATTTTGATATCACTATGCATTCAATATTAAAAGTTAAAATGACATTAAGGCCCAGTTGCATAACAGTTAATAATGCCACACAACCCCAATTTAGCGAAAAAGATTCAAAATAATGTCATCGCTTCTCAAATTAACATTATTTTGATCACAATCCACACAACAAGGTCTGTTCTATCTCATGCTAAACACTGCACAGAGTTTAACGGCGGCCATTTTTGTTGTCTACAATTATTGTGCTTTGGGTTTGTGCTGTTAATAATTGTTTTAAACGTTGGTTTTTTTACAGAGGCACTTGTGAGCCTGAAATAAGGCCTTTAAGTGCTAAGGACAACCATTTTATTCCTCTTTTATAATAAATATACCTTATTCTATCAGGGCTGTCAAATGAAAATTTGAAGGTTAATTTGTGGGTTATAATTTAACCTTAAAATTGACATTTGACGGTTTTATGACAGCCCTGATAGAATAAAGTTTATTTTTTACAATAGAGGAGTAAAATGGTTGTCCTTAGCACTTTAAGGCCTCTTTTAAGGCTTACTATGAGAAACACAACGTTTAAAACGATTATTAATCTGTATAAACAGAGCACAAACCCAATGCACAAAAATTGTAAACAACAAAAATGGCCGCCGTTAAACTGTGCAGTGTTGCAATGATTTTTTGTATTTTTAGTACGAGATAGAACAGACCTTGTTGTGTGGATTGTGATTTTGATATCACTATGCATTCAATATTAAAAGTTAAAATGATATTAAGGCCCAGTTGTATAACAGTTAATAAACAGCTGGATAACTCTTGATAATAATTAGGTAATGATTAAGCTAACTTTCAAGTTGTATAAACATTGATTTAAATTTAATTAAGTGATTAACATACAATTAACAAATCGGTGAATTTTGTGTGGTTAACGCCGGGTTAGAACACACATAACCTTATAAATGTCAACGTTTAAAAAATTTTATTATTTTTTTGTTAGTATTTATCTGTGGTTAGCATTAAAATGGTAGAACATTTAACGGATGATGCAGATTTTTTTATAATTAGTAGAAATTGTTATTTTTACTAGAAAACCGAGACTATTTTACAGATTTAAATATAGAAGAATACTGAAACAGATTTCGTCTTTCAAAAAATATTATAACTTTTTGAAATAAAGAAATATCAGCCATTATTTCTTTAAGAACTAATACAAAATAAGTGCTTTCTTTTAGGCAAATGATTGAGTTAACTTTACGATTTTTGGTAACGGGTTCATTTTGCATTCTACAATGTTTTTATATTTGCACAACAAAATTTTCTTTAACCAGCTATTGATGATAAATCCGTAATTTATTAATCTGTTGTTAAGCAGACTTTTACACAACTGGGCCTAATTGTATGTAAAGATGCTACTTGAAAAAAAATGGTCCGTTTTTTTTGTTTTTTTTTCAAATGGTTTTTTTTTATATTTTAGGTTTTTTTTTCAAGATTAGTCCCATTGGCCTAATTTTTTATGTTTCCGGTCCAGTTCGTGGACTAAAATTAGCCACTAAATAACATTTAGTAAATGTAAATACAGTCTCTTGCCACCACCACCGAATTGACCAATAAGGGCCGCGCTTGTTTTGATTTGGTCCTAAAAAAAGTAACTACCTATAATATTTTTGATTCAGCGCTTGATTTTTCAAAAAGCTACCGAAAGCACTTTTTTCATGATTTTTCAAATTCATGTAGAGTATGGAATTTTTTTTTTCAAAAAAACAATAGCAAACTCTTGTAGAACAATTTATCCATTGGTGGTTAAGTCAGAACATTACGTGGACCAAAAAAGAAAGCCAAAAAAACTTTTTTATTACAGTATTCGTTAGGATTGAGCGTTGCACGTTTTTCATTTAAAAATCTCAAAACTAGAAACTTCAAGCTTCAAATTGCTTTTTTTACTGCTCCAATACGACCATTTTTAACGAAGATACAGCTATCCGAAAAATCGCAAAAAAATTTTTATTTATCCTTTAATTTTTTCTATTAGTGTAGAAGTTTTACATTGCTATTGGTTTTTTATGTGGAAACTACCAAATAATAAGAAATCAGATTTTTTAGTCTCTGTCAAAATCTTCAATAAAGAAAAATGTAATATATTCTACATTTTACTTTATTTTTAATATACATTTTACTCAAAATTTCATTTTGAAAATTTTTGTAAGATAATTATTATCAAAAAAAGTGATATTACAAAAGAAAAATTATTGGAGAATCGTATACAGAAGAAAAATGGAACAAAATTGATTTTTTTCATTACAGCGCCATCTATTACAAATATGAAAAAATGTTTTAGACAAAATCTACCTATTTTTAGTCGAATGATCCGAATCTGCAATAAAAAATAGGGTTTTTCATTTGAAATTTTAAAGATATCTCCTGTTCCCCCTATAAGGAGGAGAATATGAGGACCAATTTAAGTACTGATTGATTTCCCCCCTCGAATTATTTAATTTTTATTTTAAACATTTTTTCGTAAAATGCATATTAACTGAGATATTTAAAAGTTTCAAGTTACGTGACACCCTGTATAAAAATTGTGTTATTAAATTAATAAAAACAGGTAAAATACATTTTGCATTATAGAAAAAATAATGTATTATATTAAGTCTAAAAAATCCAATTTTATGATTAAATTTCTTCAAATGTTAAATAATATTCTAAACGTTTTTCATGAAAATGTAATTATGATAAATGCCTACTTTAGATATGAATATTTGTAATAGTTTTTTTATATATAAATAAGCTTTATTTATATAGCTTAAACTAAATTCTTGTGTTGCCTAAATTTCAAACTGAGAGAATTGACAATAAAAAACTTTTTATATTTTGAGTATTTGTTATCAAACATAACTAAATCAATAAAAACCAAATGAAATTTAACTGGTTGTGCAAAATAATAAAATTAAAACGAAATAAAAAACATTGCAAACAAGTCACAGCCAGAAGGCCTGCCAGTGACAGCATAAATAATAATTTTAAAACAGAACAAGTCGATATTGTTTTCAAATTGAAACTTTCAATAAAAAAATAAAACGATAAAAAAATATTTACTCACCTCAACCCATAGAGGATCAACAGCTTTGGGGCATTTTTCATAAATAGTCAGTCCATGGGAAAAGTCTATTACTTCATCCTCCGTGCCGTGAATAATGAGTGTTGGTGACATTACTTTGGGAACTTTATCAATACTAAAAAAATTTAACAATTGTTTGTTTAATTACGAGAAAGTTTCAACGTATTTAGAAGTATTAAAAAACCATGCTTACTATAACTATGTATGTAAAAATATGTGGAAAATAAAAATAAATATTTAATATGTTAAAAAGAGATAACTTTGAAAATTCTCACTTTGGTGTTTTCTTAAATCAAGCTTTAAAAATAAATTAGTGGGATCAAGAACAGTACAAGTTAAAAATTTAAATTGTTTACAAGTTATTTCATAATTTTATTTTTTTAGTTTAAAATGCATTTTTTTGAGAATATTTTATAAAATATAATAACCATATTTTGTACAATAGTTGAAACATTCTCACAAAAATGCATTTTAAACTATAAAAATAATTTTATAAACTAATTTGTCAAAATTTTAAATTTTGGACTGTTTTTGAACCCACCAATTCAAATGTTGTATTAATATACTATATAACCATCCTTATATCATAATTTTATAAATGAATAAAATCACAAAAATAAGCAATGTTTTACCGATTTTCGAGACACCCTGTTCATTTTTCAAAATTTTATTTTTTGTATTGCGTTGTATATTTGTATATATATTTTCCGCGGTCAATGACCAGGTGGGATACTTAAACAGTATCTTGCAGCAAAGGTTAACTATATATTGCGATTGCATGCAACTTGGGATGAACTTTACACTTAATGTTCATCGATTTTTAATTAATTTTCAGTGTAAATGTTAATACATGTTGATTTAATTCCCTAAACTTGAACTATTTGCAAGGCGTTGACATAATTTAATAAACTCTAGTAACTATATATGTATATGTTTACTTTCTGTGTATATTAATTTGCTGAAATTGTGTTATTAAATATATTTATAGATTAATATTTTAATCAATATATTCAAAGAACATAAACAGATTAAGTAAATTAATTGTTATTTACTGTCCATAATATTTTGTATGTCAGCAAATAATAAAAATAAAATTCCTCTTTATTTTTTACCTTGAATATTTTAATTATATCAGCAAGCAGTTTTAGAAAAGAAATAATGACATGTTTAATTAGTTATAAGTTTTGTTTCAAAATAAACCTGGAATTTGTGGAATTATATGACTAACACTAAGTGTTGTGTAATTCAAGTCATAATATAATAACAGGATGACAAATAAAAATTCATAGATGATGAATAAAAAGTTTATATAATTTAATTTATGAAACCCCCTTTATGTGATATTATATTATATATATGGGGTCACAATGTAAATACTATATTAAATGGTGTAATTGATTTTTTTAATTGTATTAAAATAAATAAATAAAGGGCTTACCTTGGAAAGGCATCAAAGAACCAGGTTCTTTTAGTGTTAGGAAAGGCAACTCTCATTCCCGACATGAGAGGTGAATGTAAAATCACAGCCCCGACTTCGTATCTTGCAGCCAAGTCTACAGTAGGAACAGTGCCAATGCTTTGGCCATAGAGAATGATGTTCTCTGGACTGATGCCGTACCTGGTTCTTAGAGCTTGCCAAGCAGCATCAATGTCTGCGTAGAGATTTTTTTCAGATGGTTTCCCTCCACTGACACCATATCCAGAGTAGTCATAACTGAATATATTGCAGTTTATTCTTGAGCCTAGGCCAAGATAGAAACTGCTCATTTGTCCGAGATCAACGGCATTTCCATGTGAAAATAATATGGTAAACCTAGCTGTGGTACTACATCTAACAAATAAGCAGGCAATCCTGTTCCCTCTGTCTGTTCTTGTGAAAAATACTTCTACATTTTCTTTTTCTCGCTCGGAAAACTGCCATTCCGCTCTTTCTGTCAGAACAAAACTGCATTTTCCGTTTTCATCGGATACAAATTCGTAAGTTGGTTCTGGGGGTAGAAAAGCCAATTTGGCTGCTATTCTGCTAGGACAAGGTGGACAACAAAATAAGCAACACAACTCGCTTAAACTTAGACCGTTCATTTTACATTAATTTACAACTAACTATGCAAACAAAAAATTACTTTTAAATTAATTAAACACTTATCAGTACAACAAAACTTTCTCGTTCATTGTTGACAACGCCATGGAGAAGGCTAGTAAAAACTAACACAGATGGCGCTGTTAACACCAACCAAAATGTCATATTAGACTGATACCCATCCACTAAACGCGCTAGAGTACACTAGTTGAGCTAAATGTAGCCAATTAACAACGTTTAAATATTTATTATACATTACAATTATAACAATGAATAATTTGAAGTAAAATTGTACCCTATTCTGAGCTACAAGAGCTGTACACAAAAAATTAAGAGTATCAAATCTCGGTGCGCACCGTGGTCAGCTTTTTCAACCTAATCATAAAAAATTTGTATTTACTTTAATTAAAATTTTTTATTATGGTAATAATTACCATTCTTTTTTATTACATTTCTATAAAAACCTAATTTTTGATTAAACGCGATAAAAATATAGTGACTTTTATTTTTTTGTTATGGCAGCAGTGTTAATTTTGAAACAAATGAATAATTGTTGTTAAACTAATAATTGTTTCTAAATTATTGTGTATCTTATAGTGATAAATAAACAAGAAAAAAATCAAAATAAGGTGAAACAAAAGTTTTATTATAAATTGAAGATGACAAAAATCGAATATAACATAACACTGTAATTACCATTAATCTCAAATAAATTACAAACAAATAGGCAAATTTAACTTTGATCCATTAAAAAACAGTCGTTATGATTGCTGGAGGAGTCTTTTTGTATGGATTCAAATATCGGTTGAAGATCAGGAGAGTTCTTTATTTGGCTTATAAATTCATTCAAGTGAGGATTTTTATCTGAAAAAAAGTATGGTGAGTGAGTTGTATTATTATTATTTTTGTTCATTATTACCTGCATCAGGAATATTAAGTAGTGCTGATACAGCACGCAGGGCAGACCTTTTTAGTTCATCTTGCTTTTCATATTCTTGCTTAACTGAATTTGCCTTAACTTTCATGGTGCAGGTTGCTTTCAACGGTTCAACCAAACGATCTAATCCTAAAAAACAATAAAATTACAACAAAATAATAGTATATTATGTATCAGGTTTCATAAACGCCATTTTATACACGAATTTAATTTAGGCACGAGCGAGCTTGCGAGCGAGTGCTTAAATTTATGAGTGTATATAAAAGTTTATAAACGAGGTGCATACTATACTTTTTCTACTACAAATATAATAATAATCATTTTAAGATAATAATAAGTATACTTATTATTATCTTAAAATGATTTAAATAAAAATTTTGTATATAGCGCCATCTATGAAACAACAGGGGAAACTGTCAAATGTCACATTTTTACATTTTATAAACACAATTATAAAGGTTATAAATCGAAATGTATATTGAAAATTGACAGTTTTTCACAGTGAAAGTAAAGGAAATGTTTTATGAGGACTTTACAGTGGAGTCCGTGCCCGAATTTAAGTTATAGTTTAATGCCGGCGAAATTAAAAGGTCAGTACAATGTTCATATAAACTTTTCAAATATTGGCGTTGAGAAACTATTTAATATTTTTGTATTGAGATAATAAAATAATTTTCACATTTAGTATTATTTTACAAGAAAGGCACTTTATTTTAACGATTGTATGACATTTGAGAACTGTCAATTAACTTAAAACTAACTTCAGCCCGTGACTAAAGCGCCATAAAGCCACAACTTGTCAATGTGTATTTAAAAGGTCACTTAGTGTCATGGAAACATGTACGATAAAGGGCGTTTTAAAGGTGGGAGTAGAAAAATATAATTAAGTGGGATAATTACTTTGTAAGACAGCTCCAGGGCATATTTGAGAAAGCCTAGCTACCATTAGATAAGTCAACATTTTGATGTCGTAATGATCCTTTAATCCTGACTCGACGTGATTAATAAAATCGAAAATATCAATTCTATCTAAACACGAATCTAATAGAGTGTACATGCACTCAAATGCAGCTTTTCTAATGTCCAAGCCATCATCCACTGTGTGTTTGAAGGGGCCCATTTCAACTTCCCTTATTAAGTCCCTCTGAAAAGAAATAGTCGATTTTGCATTTTTAAATCAAGTTCTGCAGATCATCTTACCTTAACGTTAGTTTCGCTGTATAGTTGAGGTAAAGTGGTATCGAGTAGATCCCTGATGAGCGATGGCTTGTTGTGAGCGGCCGAGTTGAAGGCAACCAAAGCGACTCTCCTCACATTCAAGTCGGGGTCTTGCAGGGTGTCCAAAAATTCCCCAATGCATTGCCTCAATAGCGGATCAATGGCGGCGGGTTGATCGCTGATGGTGAACTTGACCGCGGTTACCACCGTGGTTCTCATTAGAGGCGACGGGGACACTAGGGAGCGCTTCAGCTTGGGTAGCAAATGAGCGGGGTCGATTAGAGTCAGCTTGCCCAAACATTCGGCGACCACGTTGCGAGTGCCTTCCTCGCTGCATTCGCAATGCCTGAAGAGTTGCTGCCAGATCGCCGGTACGAAGGGCAATAATTGCTGGATGCCTTCTGGAGTTTGCGATAAGCATGTTATTACTTCTTTGAGAGAGTGTAGGAGTAAATATTGCCGTTTGGGTTGATCCTGACTTTCTTTGAGTATGAACGGTAGATATTGCTGCAAGTTTCCAATGCAAATGCTGCCCAGTGCGTAGCTTGCAGCCGATTTTACTTCTTCAGATACAGCCGAGAAGGATTGCAGTATTACTTGCTTTAAGTTTGTTACTGAAGTAAGATCTCTAAAAAAATGCATTACTATCTAGACTTTATGTAATTGAAGTAAATACTTACATTTCCCTGCCGATTTCGCCGACAACCAACAAAGCGAAAATTTGCTGCGAATCAGAATGCGAATTCTGAATTTCGTTGATGAATTGCGGGATTACAGGCAACGCGTGAGAATGACATGTTACTGTGATAGCGGCCACGCATTTAGCCAAAGAGTAGAACGCTTGTTTGTGTAACGTAGTTTGCGTGGTAGTCAGATTCGAAATGGGCTGCAGTAACATTCTTAGTAGAGCATCGTAGCTTAATCCGTGCAGATTGCACTTAACTAAAGCCTTGAAGAATTTAAGCATGGCTTGTAGAGCAGATCCTTGTAGCAACGGAGATTTGACTAGTACCATGACTTGAGGCAAGATGTTGTTGGAGACTTCTTTGAGAGCCCTTGGGTGGTGTTCGGCCACTGATTTCAATATGACCAAAGTCCATTGAGCTATATGCAAATCGGATTCGTCCAGTAAGGGAGGTACCTCGACTATTACAGTACTTTGGAGCAGTTCGACGTCGATGTACTCGTGATAGTTTTTTATAACGCAATCGAGAAGTTGAAGGGTGCTCAGTTTTAAGGCGCGCTGATTTTTGCGCAGGAAGTGCCCCAGTATCGGTATGGCGTTGTTTAAAATTGGGAGATCAATGCACAGAGGAGATCCGGCGATTTTGGTCAAGGCTTTGACGGTCGTCAGTCTGGTGATTTCGTTGCGCAGTCTGTCCAAGAAGAGCGGGAAACAACTCGGCAACTCCGATTTCAAATGGTCGCCCAGATTGCATATGACTTGCCCCATTGTTGAAATTGCTTTTTCTTTTACCTCCTGATCGATGTCGGCGGTCCTCAAACGATCCAAAGTGCATGAATAAATGTCTTTGGTGAATGGTGTAAAGTCAAAGTCGGTGGTGCCGTTTAACGGTCTTATTACCTTGACGAGTTCTTGTAGGACATTCAAAGCTTCGGCTGTGATTTTATAAAAGCTGTCACCAACAGCGTTTATCACAGGCGGCAATAGAATGTGGATGTGGGAGTGAAAAACTGTAGTAGGATGGCTGGTAAGCAGACAATAAATAAATGATAGAGCGTCGATTTTCATATTGCTACTGGCGTTTTTCTCGCCCAACGAATACAGTATACCAGGAATTAGATCGGCTATATGAGAACTCAAAGCCCCTGGAAGAACGGCGCAGACTTCTTTAAGTAAGGAGAAACAATCCTGTCTAGTCTTCATGCTCTTCTCGCGCATCTGGGTCTGGACCCCCTTCACAATCAAGTCGATTTGCGACTGCAACAAACTCATCGGACTTTCTTCGACCTCGTCCATAACCATTGCATTCGGATCCATGTTAACGTTAACCGTAGCTCTAGTTTGCTTCAACAAGGCGATATAAGCATGGAAAATGTCGGACTTGACATTCTCTTCTCTTTCCTTGAAACGAGCTATCAACGCGGGAGACAGGACTTTGTAGAATTCAGGAAGTAACTCGTGACGAGTCGATATTATTGCTTCGAGACATTTGGCAGCGGACCTGCGCACTTTCCAGCTCATATCGTCATCATCGCTGTACTCGTCATTGTCTTCTTCGTCGTCCTCATCATCAAACTCATTGCCATCCTCATTGCTAGACTCATCTTCATCGTAATTGTAGTTCGGATCATAAGTCATGAATTTAAGGCATAGTTGAGTAATCTTCAAGAAAACATTATTACAATTTTGTTTTGTTATACAAGGTGTAATCGATAAAACACGAAAAAATAAGAACAATTTATATCAGGGCTCCTATGGCTAAATTACAAATTTTATTTAGGAATTTATTGGGTTTTTGTAGAATTTTAGAAGAAATATTCAAATGAATTTCTGTAAATTAATAAAAACAACTCTACACCGTACTAAATAAGTTTTAAACAAAAATATTGATAAATATCACTTCTTTTGTACAAATAAGTTACATTGGCTAGTTTTTTAGCCAAATCGCTCGACGAGTATTTTTGAATAAAATTAAAAGTGAGGTAAAATTACTACTTTTGTATATATCTGAGGTATATATGCACAAGTAGTAATTTCACCATACCAGTGGCGGCCCGTGACATTTCATTTTGGTAAGGCAGAGGCAAGGTTTCGCCCTCATTTAAAGGCGAAGAAATTTTTTTAAACCCAACTTAAAAAAACTGACGTCGCAGTTCACAACCTATACTTAAAACTAAGTAAAAAAACTTAGACTGTGGTGGGAAAGGAATCCTCTACTTTGCCAATAAAATATATTTTATAGTAAAAATGACGTTTATTTTAAATAAACCTCATTTTTGTCTAATTAATATTTCATTCACATAAATCACCAAGTTCAATTAACTAAACCCACAGAATAAACCACTTACAAAAGAATCATAAAATAGACAAACTCATAGAAAAAGAATAAACAAAATATTGCGTAAATAACCACAGATTTGTTCTTTAAACAGTTCAGAATTTTATAACCAAAACAAACCTAAAGAAGAAATCTGTATTTATTTTATTGGTTACTGTGATGGCTACAAGATGGCGATAGTGTTAAAATATGTTTATTTTAGAATAGAAATATAATTTCGATTAAATCGATTTATTATAAGAAAAATAATACCATTTATTATTGAATTTTGAAAAACGTGTGAAGACCTAAGTCAAATGGTGTTATATTTATATTTTGAAAAAAAAAAGTTAACTGCTTAGTTAATAACTAACAATAATTAAATTGATGAGAGTACAAGTCCAAAAATTTCTAAAATCAATTTTAAAGTTCAAAATACATTTTTGTGAGAAGATATAAATCATTTATGAATATATGAATATTATATTTTATAAAATAGTTAAAATATTCTCACAAACATGCATTAAGAACTATAAAACAGATTTTTGAAATATTTTGTCAAAATTTTAACTTTGGACTGTACTGTTCTTAATCACACCTATTAAATTGTAATGTGGATATTGATAATCAAAAATCTCATAATACAAAAAAATATAAAGTTTGCATAATACAGCAAAAATATTCTTTAGATTGTTTACTATTTTAGCTATCATTTAAAAGAAAATTAAAAATTCTTTTGTTTGATATGTAACACGGTATATTTTTGTCGAAAACAAACGAAACATGGAATATAGGTATATTTTATTGTTTTTTAAAGAAAAATGTAGTTAGTGATATACGATCATTTTAAAAGTATATTAAAGAACTAATGTCATAAGACGTCATTTTGTCGCACGCGGACAATTTATTTGTAATGGACGAGTGCGACAAATGGTCTTATGACATGAGTTCTTTATGCTATTTTATCTATTTTACAAAAATTCTATAAAAAAAATAATTTTATACCTTAAATTTAATTTGGTCGAATTTTACTTTAGATAGTTGGTATCATGTAATTGGTTTGACAGTTAATGTCAAAATCGATTCGCCATGCCGTCCTTAATTTACTTATTTACAATAAGCTGCTGTTAATGTTAAAGAAGAAAAAAAGAATTTTCTTTGGTGTTAAACAAAATTTATTACCAGAAAAGTCTCGTAAGTACTAGAAAAATCATAAAAATATTATTTATAACCTATAAAATTAAAATTTTGGGTGGGATAAAGTATCTCATTACAGCACCGAAAGCGGTGTTATAATGAAGTCATTATGAACGCAAAATAGATAAAAGTAATTTAATAAACTAGAACCTAAAAATATATATTTTTTAAATTGCTTTTTAAAAAATAAAATTTTTAGCACGACAACTACCTTAATTAAAAGCAGTCATGTTGGCCTATTTATATTTTTAGGAGTTTTAGGAGATTGATGGCAATTTTAGGTGTTGAGCCCTGTTATATGAACTTGTTTGTTTTAAAGCTACATATTTAGAAATAAAATTTGCTTTTTTTAAAGTTTAATATATTTTTAGACTAGGCAATCAAAAATAGAACTTTTTTTATATCCTGCATTATTTCTCTATACTGTTTACAAAATAAAATACGTTTATTTGCTTGGTTATAAAAACGAATATAAATTTTTTCTTGCCAATTACCCAAGATAGAGAAAAACTGCAAGAGACAAAACTATGCATTTTTAAAACGTTAATCTTAACATAATCTGTGACCAAATATTTTTTATTAACTTTAACACCCTGTATCTTAAAAAACAAAGCTTTAAAGCATACTAGATTATATAAACTTTTATATCTAAAGTATTTGGTTATCTCCTAGGCTGTAAAAATTATTTAAGACCAATCAGGTGAAGCTATCCAACCTCACTTTATAATTTTAATAATTGTTATTATTATAAGCTCAGTACAAAAAAACTGACTTCTCAGCCTTATGATATAAATAACTAATCTTCTTGTTTTTGCGAGTTTTATTGATTTTTAAATTTTTTCGATTAAATACTTTACTTACCGCTGGAATATTGGGCGTTATTTCCTTAGGGCAGCGGTTAATGAAGCTTTCAAAAGACTGCAAGCAGAATTCTCTAAGCTCATCATCATCTACCGAACTACATTGCAATATTAAAGGGACGAATTTTTCAATGTGTTCGCCAAATTTATGACCAGATTGGCGACTGAAAAAAAGGATTAATTTTTGCAAAAAGTAAAACAAAATGTTTCAATGTTTGAATTGAATGTAAATATATGTAAATTAATAAATAACTTACCAAACGGCGGCAATACACTGTACATAAGTACGAATCTGCGAGTTGTTTTTATCATTACACAGTCCATCGTAAAGATGATCAATCAGCTTTACGTAAAGGTTGTTGTTACAGGACAGCACCAAGTTGCTACAAGCCGCAATTGTTCTCTTACGCACCGCTTGCCTTTGAGAGCACAACTGAGGCAGCAAAGCATTCAATATTGAACAGTGAAAAGTGCTTAGGACACTTCCAAAACGTTGCAACAAATCTGCCACTATATCCAAAGCTTCAAGTTGGACTGAAACGTCCTCTTGCTAAAAGATATTTTTGATAATATTTTGCAAGAATAAGTAAAAATAAAACGCAGACTTACCCTTTCTATTGCTGTAGTAAGTCTACCAGTAATTCTTTTGCAGATATTGCCGGATAGGCCTCCTGGGGCCTGTGGCAACTCAGCAATCACAGTCTTTAGCCCAATGCTGGATATATCACGAAGTTGTTCCTTGTCAGAAATCATATTTGTACAAAGTGATTCAACAATTGTTTCCACCTGATACTCTTTAACTTTATTCACCAAAGGCCCCAAACTAAAAAAGGCACAAAATAGGATTGTTGTTGTCATTAAGAGTTTATCTACCATTTAACAGCCAAATTCTGGACTTCCCCATTTTTGTCTTCGAGAAGCTTTAACAACATTCTCACCACTTTCCTCTCAGAATCATCATCTAATTTGATGCTATCTTTTTGTAGTTCGCTCATCAAGTCATTTGTTGCCATGAATCTAAAGTCCTTGTCACTGCTTTGCATCTGGAATGTGTTTCGAGGGTTAATAAAAAGAGCTTTATCACTGTTATATCTTATTCATAGAGTACAAACCTTTTCAAGCAGATTAGCAATTTGATATGATACACTAGCCATGATGAAGATGGATTGTTTTACCAATAAATTAAAACGACAAAGTAAAAAGTTGACTACCAGACTTGTTTTAAGTAAAAAGTATGTACATTTCAATAATTAAGGTTAAAATTCAATAATTACTTTTATATTTACATATCAGTAAAATAAACGATCCCCTGCAATAGTGTAGTGTCTTAATGTAATCAAATTATATGTATGCTTAATATTTTTCTAAATTAATTGTTCAACATGTAAAAATCTACCAATTCACTTATTCATTGCCAACTGTCAACATTTATGGCCGGTTGCACCGGTATACTATTTGAAATAATTAAAAATAAAAATTTATTGAAAACACAAAATTCTATAAAACATGTTTTTTTCAGACCCAGGTACGGCCAAAACGTAACATGTATTAATTTTTTAAAACATGACTAAATTAAACAGAACAATAGTCTGAAGGCGCTCAATTTAAAAATAATGCGCAACATAGACGCTCAGTAAACTACATTGCAAATACTATACATGCAAGAAATTATATTTAGATAAAAGTTTCAGCACAGAACTTGTCAAAAAAATGGCTGAGTCCTTTTTATATATTTAATTTTTGGTTTTTGTTTATTTCATTTCATTTTAAATCATAATACTTTTAATAATACTATAAAAACTTTATAAAACTTTAATAAACTTAACTTATATGGAATATACGTGCAGCCCTTGCTAGCTTTGAATACGTGTTAGGGCTAAATATAATCTCCACATCTCTAGATTTATACGCTTAAAATTTACAAATAAAAATTAAAACAAAAAACACATTCCTTCATACTTTTAAAAATGGAGTATTTTTGAGAGAAAAATTAAAAAAAAAATGATGAAAGTGCCCTTCTTCTAAAATAATACTAAATGTGAAAATAGTTTCTCAACGCCAATATTTGAAAAGTTTATATGAACATTGTACTGACCTTTTAATTTCGCCGGCAGTAAACTAGATATAACTTAAAGTCGAGCTCGGACTCCACCGTAAAGTGCTAATAAAACATTTTCTTCACTTTTACTGTTAAAAACTGTTGTTTAATCCATTTTTAAGGGATACATTTTGATTTATTATCTATGTTTTTAAGACATACAAATTTGACATTTGATGGTAACACAGATTCTCCTAATGTTTTATAGATGGCGCTCTATACAAATACTTAATTTAAATCATTTTTTGAAAATAATAAGTATTTGTCGTAGAAAAAGTATAGTATGCAACTAGTTTGTAACCTTCTCTAGACACTCATTAATTTAAGCACTCGCGAGCCTAAATTAAATTCGTGTCTAAAATGGCGTTTATCAAACTTGATACATAATAAACTATTATGTGTTTTTATTATACAAAACTTATTATGAAAGGTTTTATATGTAGCTCAGGCGGGCTTTAAACTTTATTGGCCCCTTACATAGTTCATTATAGAGGGCCATTGTAGATAATACTGTATTTTAAAGTCTTCTATTGACTGCCTGAGGGCTAGCTTTAAAATCCGAGTAAAATTAATAATAGTTAATAGTAATAATATCAATATGTGTAATCTAATAGTAGTAATAATAACAATTTGTCTTAGTATTCAAAAGTGGGTGATTAAAAAATCGACCGCTTGCACCAACAAATACTAAGGTTATGTATCACAAAACTGTTTTTAAAATTAATATAAGTCGGTGCAACTGGCCTTAAAATAAAATTAAAGTTGCCCTTACCAACTGAAAAGTACTTTTCAGTGAAATAACCATCTTCTTGTATACTTTACTTGAAGAATCTTGCGGGTTTAACGCCAATCGTATAAATTTTTCTGGTATTGCTACGTCCTCCTCGGAAAAGTCTGATTCGTCTGTATCACTTAAACGTACAACGTCCACGTTGCCTTCCATTTTTTCCACGAACAAGGCTCTTTTAACGCCTGTTTTAACAACTTTTTTAACGCCCTTCCCCATAGCTAGCAATTGTTTTTGGTAAACGTTTGCACATACCTAATAGCTGATGCGCGGTACGACGACTCAATGGGGGTAGACGCGTTCAAGATGGCGATTTTACGAAATGCCAACTTAATGGTTAAAAATTAAGCGGGTAATTTAAATATTGTTAACTAGGTTGCGTTTAAAATAAAACCAGCTGATATTTACATATTTATTTATACATATGTATATTAATTGGATAATGAAAATAAATAAGACAAAAATTTTACACAAATAAAGTTCTACAAGGAAAAAATAGGGGTAAAAAATGGAAATTATGGTATAAGTCAACTTCGTGTTGATTTGCCTTTATGAGTTTTTTCTATGTCCTGAAATAGAAATATAGGTTAGTGTGAATTTATGAGGAACATTTATCGACCTACAGATGATGAAGATGATTGGACATTTCCATTGCTGCCATTTCTCATTAAAGGTCTTTGGGTGGAGCTTGTATCGTGGCGTTGTCTTTCCATGCTATAAAACGGTTTTTATTTAAATAGAAAGAAGGACACCTTTGGTAATATGTTAAACATATTAAAAATAATCATGCTAAATAATTACCTACCTATTACTTCTGGATGATGAACCGCTCTTTTTAAATATACCGGTAATTCTATCCTTCAAGTCCCTTTTGCTACCTTTCTCTTCGTTCACATCGCTATTGGAATTTGGCTAAAATCGTACATTCATTAAATTTGTCTATTTAAGCTTTATTTTTATATACCTTAGATGACAGTGACCTAGAAGGTGAGAATGTGCCGGGATCCTGATCATCAATGCTCCTGCTTTTGGTTAACTTTTTAATTTTACCAATTAACGATTTCTTTTTCTTCTTCTCTCCAAAATCGCTTTGCGTGGAACCTCCGGATAACCTGCTATCCAAACTGGCGTCCCTCCGGCTTCTCATCACTTCAATATCAGAATTAAACTCTAGTGATTGCAGACTCGACATGCTATCATTATCATTTTTCCATATTTTTTGTTCATTCTGCATTGTGTGCTCCAAAGATAAACTCTTTCTCCTCAATTGATTCGTAACGCTCACAGTGCTCGATCTGGAGTAGGGTTTGCTGTACCTAGAGTTAGAATTATCGTGTTCTGTTGACGTAGCTCGTCTCATGCCCATGGCCCGTTTAATACGCTCACGTTCGTATTCGTCCTCCGACATTTTTTGAATCCTCCTTAAATCTTCGGTGGTATTAACTATACGCTGCATTATATAGTAAATTTGTTGCTGCTTCTCTCCAGGAGACATCGAGGATTCGCGTCTTCCATCATTGGCCGGCGAAGATTCTCTCGATTTTGACTTGGTTCTCCTCGGAGGTGTTGGTGTGTATGTGGCCTCTCTTTCATTGGAGAAGAACAATTCAGGAGCGAATTGTTTCAACGTGTCTACATGCTCGATTATCGCGCCTATTTTTTTGTCGTCCTCTTGGTCAGCCCTCTTTTTACCATTAATCAAAGTTTTAAATTCTTCACGTTCCTTTTCATATTTCTCCTTCTCCCGCCTTAATTTCTCATTTGTTGTTCGTAATTTCGCGTGGGCATCTCTAAGTTCGAGCAAATCGCATTGCAGCTCCGTTATTTTCTTCTTGTTTTCATCTTGTTCTTCCTCCGAAGATTTTTTGAATTGATCCGTCTTTCTTTTAGACTCCAAGCGTTCTTTGTCCCTCTCTCGTTCAACCTCGAACAGGGTTTGTCTTAAGTCCCTCGCCAATGTAGCAGTTTCCTGAAGAAGTCTTTGTTGATCTTCTCTTTCTTTCTGCCATGCTAACTCCATTCTCGTTCTTAAACCTACTATCTTCGTTCTACCGCTATTCAGTATCTTCTCTTCCTCTAGTTCGTTTATCCTTGATTGGAATTCGGAAAGTTTGACTTCCCAGGAGGATCTTTCTGACACTAATTCTGTTTTCAATCTCGAAGATTCCAGTCTTGCCTCGGATAGTTCGTCTTCCATGCAACTGATTTGCTGTTCCAAATTCTGAACTTTTGATTTGGTCTCCTCAAGTTCGTCGTAATGCATCGTTTTGGTCCCGTCTTTGGCGGATCTTGGCGATTGTTTTAAGTCTCCTATGGTTTTTTGTGCAGCTTCTAACATGTGCTTGTAGTTATCTTTTTCTCTTTTAAATCTCAGAACTTGATTTTGGAGTGATTGCAACTCAGCATTGACCATTGCTTGCTGACTTTCATATCGAATTTTGCACTCTGCAATGTCAGATTTCTTATTTTTTTCGGCATTACTTAGTTTTATTTTTAGCTGGCGGATTTCTTTTTCCATTGCAGTGCTATCGGCAGTCATGTTTCTTTGAACTTTATTGACTCTTTCGTAATCATCGAGTTTTTTCTTTAGCTCGTCATTTTCTCTGCGCATAAACTCCATGTGGTCGTTAACACCATTATATTCTTTCTTTAATTGATCCAATTCCGACTGAATTTCTTCTAATGAGGCTTTTAGTCTGGCTTTTTCGTAATCATTGCCATTGCCTTTTTTACTGTCTTTAATTTTTTCTTGCATTTCCAGTTTTTCCTTAATCCAAGTATCTTGTTTGGTGTTGTAGGTGTCACGTAATGTTTTAAGTTCAATTTCCAGTTGGTTAAGATCCCTTTTGACGTTTGCTAGTTGACTTTCAACCGTTTCTTTTTCCATTACTAGTTTTGCTTTTGTCACTACATGTTCTTCCTCTAACATTTCGTATTTGACAGTTAGATCGTCATATTTTTGACGTTCTTTCATAATGGTGGCATCTAATTCTGAAAAAAAAACGATTAAAAACATTATTTTGTGTTTAGTTTTGTACTTACTATCAATATTCTCTTGGAAATGTTTTATTTCATCCTTACTTCCTCCAGAATTTAATTCCAGTTTTTTAATTTTACTTTTTAAAGTGGATAATTCCAATTCTCTATTTCTATTCTCTTTTTCATGATTACCTTTTATGACTTCTAATTTCTTCCTTTCATTTTGTAAATCGATTTCCAACTCCTTGTTCTTCTTTTCAATCTCCAACTTGTTGTTTTTATTCTCGGTTTCAGTTTTCTTTAGCTTGTCCTCAAGGTTTTTGTGATTTTTCGTTGACATTTCCAATTTAGACTCCAACTCAGATAATTGGACTTTTTTCTTGCTTAATTCATCTTTCAATTTGTTTATTTCCCTATTTTCCAATTCTCCCACCTTCAAACTTGTTTTGGAAACAATTTCCCTTTCTTTACTCAAACTTTCCTCCAATTGCTTTACGTGTTTATTTTTCGTATCAATGGAATTCTCAAGTCCTTTTATTTTTGTATTTAAGTCATCGATTTGATAACTAAGCTTTTTTTTATCCTCTTCCCATTTCAGCTGTTCACTTTCCAATGTTTTGATTTTTTCTTTGCTTTTTTCGATCTAAAAATAATTTACTTTAGATTGTTTTTATTCATTTATTTCATTATAAAACATCTACTTTATTATCGAAGTCTTTGACTTGATCTTTAAATTTTTTATCAGTAGTTTTACATTTATCTTCGTACTCATTTAGTTTCTCTTCGAGCTCTTTAATTTTTTTATTCTTAGTTGTTAGCTTAAAGTTTATTAGACGTTTACAAAAATAAAATGCAAACATGTAAAACTACTTACCTCTTTTGTTAACTTAGTTTTGTCTTCCAAATCTTTTTTAAGCTTTTCTAATTCCTTATCTTTGCTTTCAAGTTCTAGCTTTAAACTTTCAGACTTTTGCAGAAGTAAAGTCATTTCGTCCTGCTTATAGGTTGCATTTCCTGAAATAAATTATTGGTTACAATTTTTTTTTATATTTGTAAAACTTACTGAGGTTTGTTTTTAATTTTGTTATTTCCCCATCCAATAATTTCTTTTCATCTAGAAGTTTAAGTTGCTCTTTGGATGCCTTTTCAACTTGCTCCTTTAGAGTATTTTTTTCTTCGATAGATTTTTCGAGATTTTCCTTGGTTTTTGTTAAAGTTTTACTAAAATCTGCAGATTTCTTATTTTCACTAGCAACTTTGGTTTTTTCTTCGGTCAATTCTTTTTGTACGTTTTCATATTTTTTGCGGATTTCGTCCAATTCCTTTTTGGCTTTTTCGAATTCGAGTTTGTTGATGTTATTGCCACCGTCGTCCTCTTTTTTCTTAGATTCGCTCATTTTAAGTACAACCAACATTTCGCCAATCTCGTTTTCTAAATCGGAAACCATTGTTTTCAGTTGATCCCTTGAAGTTAACGTTGATATTCTTTTCGGTTTTCTAGACGTAAACTTCCTTATCTGCGCACTATTAACTTCTAATTTGTTTGGAATATTTGACGAAGATTCTAAAGACTTAATCTTTTCTTGGGCATCACTTAATTCTAATTCTAGCTTGGCTATTTGATCGATGTATTTATCAATGTTTTTGTCATTTTTCAATGATTTAGCACCGCGTAACAAACTCAGCCGTTTATTTTCTGCAATTATTTTTTCATTTTCTGATTCTAAAGTTTGAACTTTGTTACGCAAAACCGATGCTTCTTGGTCTATAACGGCCAACTGCCGTTTTAGGTCTAACGTTTGTTGGTCCATATCCAACGATCTTAAAATTGAAAATACTATGATGTTTAAATTGTGTATGTGTATTCTACTTACTTGCTCTTCACCATGCCTTTGGAACGTTTTTGATTCAAATTTAATTCGGCTTGAAGTCTTTCACAATCTCTCTCTTTTTCGGTCAATTTGGTTCGAAGATCGTTTGTTTCATCTTCCAAAACCTTCACAAAAATATTCTGTCAACAATGTTCGTTTAATATCGAAAATTTACCTTTGATCTTCTTACGCTAGGCTTCGTGCTAGCATCCTTGGCTTTGGCTTTTAGCCTATGATTATCAGCTTCCAACTCTTCGACTTTTTTTCTTAGAAGACTGGCCTCGTGCTCGCTCAACTCCAATTGTAGTTTTACTTCCGAGGGATCATCGTCGTCTTCGCTTTTTTCCTTCGGTTCCGGCGTAAGCCTTTGATTCGATGGGCTCAATTTTCGACCTTCAATATTGCCTAATTTTAGGTAGAAGCCACCACAAGTGATCTATTTTTTTAGTATTGGTAATAAGAAACAAATGAAAAAAAGCGTTAAATTGTCGAAAGCAAACTTTGCAACTGTAGAAAATGGACTTCATTAGTAAGCGTTGGGTGTTTAACTACTTGCCGTTAAATTTAGAACACACTGTATTTTGGGTTTCATCAATATCACAATATTATACGATAGAATCATCAATCAATGTGATTCTATAAGATGAGTATTGTAAAACTGATTGCAACGCCAATGGTACGTGCATAAGGGTTAGAGATTTAAACAATCGATTTCGGTCAAACATACTTCTTTGTCTTGTTGCCATTTTCTTCAGCTGCAAAACCAATGATTCGTTATCATCTTCAACTCTGGATACTTTATTGCGTAAAGTTTGTGCCTGAAATGTGAAGATAAAATATAAAATTATTACCCATTGCGCATAGGATTGTTGCCATTGGCGAGAAAACTCTTGCGGGCTGATAAATTTTTGTCATAAGTAAATCTCTGTCTTGTAAAGCTGTAATGAAGGTATTTCTCGATACTGGGAATAAATCGTTTGGAGATTCTACTGATTCTACAGAAGTTTGGGTAGATATTTCTGACGTTATATTAATATTAGTTTGAACTGATTTATTAACTATAGGAGTATCTAATAGCAATGTTTGGGTTGAAGTGTTGCATATTGGTGTTCTCATTATTCCATGTCTTCGTTTTGCTAACCTAGTTATCTAATCAAATAAAACAAGGAAAAATAAAACTAAAAACTTAATAAAAAATATATATACACTGTAATTTTTGTTACCTCTTCTTCGGCAAACTTGAGTTGCTCTCTTAGGTCAGCCTCTCTTTCCAATGAGTCGTGTAAGTCTCTTTGTAGTTGGGTTCTATCGTCTTGAGAGTCTCCCCTTGTAAGAGATTCTCTGGATACTTTCTAAATTTAAAAGGACATTTTACGATTTTTTATTAATATTATTAGTTTGCTCACCCCATCACCAGATGGAACTTTGCCAATGTTCCCTAGTAGCGGTGCTTTTTTTTTGTTGCTCGGCGATTTGTTTTCTTCGATCCTCCTATTTGCTTCCTCCAACTCCTTTTGCAGTCTTAAAGAAGCATCGTTTGACGATTTCAATTCTTGTTCCAGGCTTTTAATTTTGTCCAGATGCGTTAACGTGTTCGACCCCCCTGAAACCTATTTGACAGATTAATGGTAAGCAAACACCACGACTTTCAAACACACTTCTTTTAGTTTTGATTCCATTTCGGTTTTTTCTGTTTCTAACTGATTTGCTTTCCGTTCTGCCTTCTGTAGTTTAAACGATAATATTCGACAATTTTTCGTGGTTTGATCCAATACTTTTTTCAACGACGAGTACCTATCATCTTGGTCTTCTCTAAAATTGTCCTGCATCTCCTCCATTTGATCCTCCATATCCCTCATTTCCTTCTTCATGTCCTCATTTTCGTCCATTAATTCCTCGCATAGAGTTTCCGCCGCTATTAGTTTCGACCGCAACTCATCCGCGGTTTTTTGAGCTTGCTGCGCCGTCGGCCTTAACTCCAAATCTTCCTCCAACTCCTTCACTTTCAGCGACAAACTCTTCTTCTCGTCCTTAAAATCCTCGAGCTGCTGCTGCATTTCGTTGCACTTTTGTTGCAGCTTTAATACTTCAGTAGCTGTGGTTTTCGATGTTGTGGTCTCCATTGCTGCCAGTCTTCTAAGCAAAAAGTCACTTTTGTCGCGCTCCATCCTTTCGCATTTCGTTTTGGTCGCTTCTAGCTCTTTCTTAAGGCTTTCGAATTGCTCTCGCAGCTCGCAATCTTGCGCGTCCACCAGAGTTGTGTCCGTTGTTTCTGTGCCGGCCATTGAAACGTTATCGTCATTTTCTTCATCCTGTTGTTCTTGAACTTTTGGTTTTCTTTTTACCTAGATGGAAGGTAATGTTATTGTTTGGCTTTTAGCTGAAAGGTTTTTAAAATTATGCCGGTTAAAATGATGGTATGTAAAGTGGGGTAGGAATAATAGGTACTTTCATCAAAAATATAAATATAAAATCTTACCAGATTTAAAAAAAATTCCTCTACAAAAAATGCCAGCTAAAGGGTCTACAAGCTTAAAATGACTGCAATCAGGAGTAAAAAGGGGAAAACACAACACATAATTACTTGAATTAGAAATTGTACATCGTGATTAGTAGGTTCCTCTGATATAGTTTTAACTTCTTTTATTTGAATTCTTTTTACCCTATCAATTGAGTTTTGTTCTTTGGAAGCCTGCAGTTTCTTTGCTCTTGTCGCCAAGCTGTCATTTTTGTTGTAAACTAATGACCTGTCCTTTGTGTAGGAAAAACTATCTGAAACTACAAACGAAAATTAAAACCATATCTTAATCTGATATGTGGGACGAGAAAATTGCCCTAAGGATTGAAAACTTTTAAGTGAGAAATAGCGACCACTACAATTTTCAACCTTTACGGATACGGAGCTCTGTTGTAGTTACTTGAAAAAGGACAACAATATTCCCCAACACCAAAACAAAACACAAAGTGCTTAAAGTACTTACACTTCACTTCTGAAGATACCAACATCGTTGTCGAAAAGTACTTTAAGCACTTTGTGTGTTGGGGAATATTTATAACATTTGTTCATTTGTAGTTGTTAAAGATGACTTTTTTATAGTTTCAATAGATCAGGGTATCTTCCACATCACATGTTTTTGTTACCTGTTCGTTGTCCGGTGTCTATGTTTTTTATTTTTCGCTTTGGGAGTTTCACACTGAAAGTGGTGATTGGTTGAGTGTCGTCTTCCAGGTTTGCCAGGTCTGGCGTGGAGGTCCACGACGAGGGGTTGCTTGAGTCACTTTCATCACTACCACTGTTGTTCCTGTTCAAATCGTTTCTATCACTAGTCAAGTTCGTGCTTGACACCCAGTTTCTTCGCCTTTCACTTTCACTATCTCTAAAATTTGAAGCAATCAATCCTTTTTGAATTAATGGTGCGAGCCGTATTGCTTTTAGTTTAATTAGACGGATTATAAATAGATGGTAATTAAAATAAATTTAAAACGAAAGCTATTTTTGGCACGAACGTTGCATTTATTTGGTTAATTTTAAATTAAAAAGAAGTCGCTTACCTGGTATTCCATGATAAACTTGGAGTCGAACTAGTTTTGTCGTCTTTTTTCAAGGAATGCTCTTCATCCCTTTTTTTACCACCATGTTCCTTGTAATCTCTAAAATATATTATTTTGTGCGTTTTTATTTATGAATATAATATTCATATACCTAAAACATCTTTTGCATCTTGTGGGCCACCTGACTTGGGGATGGAAACCCAAAGGACATAAAGGGTCGCCTTTTCCTGGATACAAGTGATGCATTTCTATTTGTTTACAACATGAAGCGCTGAAACGATGTTAAATTGAATATCCAAAATCGAATTCTATGAATAATAAATATTTATTGTTTTGGAATTTCAAAAATACGTTTAAATTTTCTTATGTTGGGGGTTTCAGAGGCCGCATTGTTTACGTTTGATATGTGAGATAAGATTATAAAATAGCGTGAAAGAAAAGGAAAACTGAAATCAAGTGCAATAGCTCTTATGCCGTTCGTCTATATATAGCTTCAGCCTATTAGCACAGTATAAAAGATTTGTATGGCATAAAAATAAAAAATGTAATAAAAGTAGTGAGGCACGGCACACTTACTGTGTATTTGTTACTTAAAAACGTCCACTTTTCACGTTCGCTCAAAACTGTGAATGGTTGGCTAAATTTTAAAATTAACACATTTGTCCGCAAACTAAAAATATATTTGGGATTCTAAATTACGCAACGAACACTATTTCCTGTTTTAAGTGATCAGGCAAGCTTGTGGGGTGCGTGAAGGGGAAAAACATATACACACGTTGATGTAACTCAAGAAACACGTAGAGCACCGCGATTTAAGAGACGGACTGAATTTTTCGCTGGGTTTTGTCGGAACGTGTCTAACGTCTGCACCAAGCTCGACTCTCTTTCAATACAATTGGCGTCTCAACTAAATTCAAATTCGGGATCTCAGCCAACTCTTTCAAAATACTAATCTGCTACTCCGTTCCTTTACTTATTTCCATTCCGCATTTTCAATCCATAAGTAACACTCACTAAATTAGATCATCCTCAGGTGGCAAAATTTTGAAGGTTTTTTTATTTAAATGCCATTTGGCTGCAAAATATTGGTTAATATTTATTATTACTATATTTTTTAAGAGTAGGTAATAATTTTTTTAGCAACTTTGTTTATCCAAAATCATTTCGCCCAATTCACATATAGTCCAGGAAACTAAGAATGTCGAAGGAAAACTCGATGGTAGTCGGGCTTTATTTTTTTTTCATGTAGAGTCAGGGGTGCTGATAATGAATCAAGAATATTCCCCAAAAATTTCTTTCCGCGTTCCCCAATTTCATCCCCCGAAAGGGGAGTTTTTTTGCTTTTTGACCTCTAATAATTTTGATTATGTACTAAATAAGGCACACTTTAAACCCCATTGCGCACCTATATGATGTGCCCTTTTGCTATGCGCATTGTGCAAAGTTGAGCGTTGCTTTCAAAATCACTTTTTTGCAGTGGCGGCTGGTGGATTTTGGGTACACCCATATCTCAGTTATTAGACATGGGACCCACATCAAATTTATTTGAGTTTATAATGACATTATATGGGCAAGTTCTGCGCAAGCAGAATTCAAATTATAGTTTGCGAAAAAAGTTAGTTTTTAAGTGTGCCCCCCAGCCTCCTGCCCCCCCAAATTAAGATAATTTAAATTACAATATTTAATTCACTGAAGTTTATCGAAAATTTTCAAATTTTATTAAAAAGAGTATTACAGATTTTATACCATTTCTATTTATTAGTAAATTTAGTAAAAGAAATAATAAAAATTTAAAATGGTATAAAACCTGTAATTCTTGATTTAAAAAAAAACTGAAATTTGTCGATAAACTTCAGTGAATTAAATATTGTACCACTTTAATTTGAATTATCTTAATTTGGGGGGCACACTTAAAAACTAACTTTTTTTCGCAAACTTCAATTTAAATTCTGCTTGCGCAGAACTTGTCTATATAATGTCATTATGAACGCATATAAATTTGATGTGGTTCCCATGTCTAATAACTGAGATATGGGTGTGCCCAAAATCCACCAGCCGCCACTACTTTTTTGTTTTTTTATTATAGCCCAATTTTAAAAGTAATCGATCCCAAACCTTACGGTGATCAAACATAACCGAATGGACGATTTTTTGAGGTACTAGACTTGTTTCAAAGGTTACTGCTTTTCAATGTACAGGGGGTTCTTTTTTCAAAACTTTAATTTTTGTGGGGCACTTGCAATGAAAATAATTTAAAAAAAACTACGGTTTCGTTACGAGGATAAGTGTAGCAAAAAATGTAGGGTAGAACGATGGCTCATTAAAGCCGTTTAGGAAATAAAAAATGGCTTTTTGTACAAGAATTTTGAAAATAACCCATAGGTATAATTTTAATATTTTTATTTTATAACTTGCCTGTAAGTAGCTACTTTGTAATTGCTTCATAAATAAATTTTTTAATACATATTTTTTTTTGTAAAAATACCTACTGTCACTTGTATACCTTTAGAAATATGTTTTTTAGTCATTTGATAACCTTTTGATGCAGAAAAAGTGCCCAAATATTTTTTGCCACGTTTTAGGTCAAAATACCTGTATGTGCGGCGCGCCGCGGCATGTCAAAATTTATATTTAAGATGATAATAAATTAAAAAGTATTTTTTTTCTTCAATTATCTTAATACACCAAAATTTAGAAATGTGAAGTGCCTTAAAAAATTGGTTATGGGCAAAATGATGGTTAATTTTGGAATCAGCGCACCCAATTTACCCTGGAAAAGTATTGACCATGTATTGTTTAAAAAATAAAATTATTTGGGTTTTGCTCAAACTTTAAGCTCTGCATACAAAGACTCTTCTCAGCCCTATTATATAAATAACTATTAATTGTGAAATGTGTAGGTCATTTTGAACTACGTTGTCAAACTCATGGTAATTTAAAAATAGATAGTGGAAATAGGATTCACTTGATAGCGATTTAATATAACACGTTTCACTCATTTATTACTGTTGCAATTTTAACAAACATTCGAACTATTTTTATAACAAGGCATTCCCAACTAATGATTTTTTGCCGTACCTACCTAGTCAAGTGTTATTGGGAAGTAATTGTCTAAATTTTTTTGCTTGAAATTAATAATAATTAGTTGGTCTTTACAAATAAAGGCAAGAAATGTCTCCCAAAAATATGTTATCTTCAATCGGTCTATAAATTAAACTTTATTGTTGTCAAGACTCGGCAATAAATTGATTGATTATGAACTGGGCATATCAAAATAATTTTGACCAACCGGGTAGTTGAAAACTACTTTATGGGGCTAGTAATTCATTAGGTATTTATCTAGATAGCCAAATAAGGCAATAATAAAGTAACAATAGAAATATGTGAAATATGCAATTGTTTTATTCTGCACGTACACTTAAATAAAGTTTTGTTGGGCAATCGAATAATTCAAGATCAAAAATCAACATTAGGCGAATAAAACCTTATGTTAATATTAAAGAAATACAAATATACAATAGGTATATATTTTGTGGTATGGAATAAGTTTCTATCCACCGTTAAAAAGTTAATGAATACTGTTGGAATTTTTAAAAGTAACATGTATGTATGATTTTTTACGATGATTTTATGCATAATAAAATTTTATGCGTATTTGCAATGTAAACAGAATAATGCAATAATAACCTTACGTTAAACACTACAATATATCGTTATATTTGAACCAATCATAAAATTCGATATCTGTCAGATCCATCTAACCTCACTTTCTACTTTTAGTAGTTGTGCGATTTAAAATAAAACGTATGTCTGTTTGAGCTCATCACAAAAAAATTCACTTCTTGGCCTAATGACAAAAAATAATTATTATAGGCCTGCGTTGTTAATGCCTAATTTAAAAACAATCCAGTAAGGCATAATTGCAAAAAACAGCTTTTAACCGAAATCGGCAGTAAAGTAGTCAACAATCGGCAGTAAAGTAAAATAAATCGGCTGTAAAGTAGAACTTTACTGCCGATTTAATACGAGTATTGTATGCAACCCATTATACATTTAGATGTGTCTACTGCTCCTCAGCAGCAACTAAATAATAATTTTTAAAAAAAGCACCGTTAATTTTATTAATTAGATTAAAAAATCGCCGCGGCGGGCAAATATATAATAACCGTCGCAACACACTTCCTACATTCAAATGACATTTGATTTAATCATGAATATTAATTATTAGTATTATTAAATGCGATTTCGGATAAAATTAATTAATATTAATATTAATTAATTAATATGCACCTCGGCATTAAAGTCATTTTTTATCACATTTGTGATAAAAAATACGACTTTACTGCCTTGATACATAAATAACTATTTTGTTAAATTTGGTGAGAACTTTTTAAAATCGTATAAGAATTTTTATATTATAAGTTATAAAATAAAAATTGTTATACGAGTGCTATAATTTATAACACTCATAAGCCTAGGTATATAAACGGACTTATATTTGTACGCAGGTAAAAGGCGAGGGGTCAACCACCAAAAGGGAAAACGTCCAGGGATTCCCATGTATTCCCATTATATTTTATTGTATTCCTATGGTATTCCCCCTATAAAATGTCCAGGGATTCCCAGGTGTGGGTGACCCCTCGGTCAAAGGTCAAATTATTTTACACCTATTAGTACTAGGCTAGTACCTAAAAAAATAATAGTTATTTATGTCATTAGGTTAAGAAGTAAGGCTTTTTGTGCTAAGCTCAAGGTTTGAAGGCCGACGCGTAGCGGAGGCCTACAATTGAGCGAAGCACAAAAAGGCACTTCTTGGCCGAATGGCATACAACATTTTATCTTTAAAGCACTTTATATAGGTCAATTTAATTCAATTTCAAAGTGGCCTAACCTCACTTTTTTAGAATCTCATTTATTTATTAGCTAAAGATTACATTAAATGTACAATAATTATTATTGCTTTTAGAAGCAGTAATAGTTTGACAATACCTAGCAACATGATTAAGTAGAAATGGATTTTGCTATTACATTGAATTCAATTAATTGTTTAATAAATAGGTAGGTATCTAATTTCAATTTGTTTGGATTTTTATTTAAAAATGGGTAGTTTGGAATGTTTAAGCTGTGTTTAACATTTAATTTCATTGAAAACTTAAAGCAAATTAAAACTTAAAAATAATTTAAATCGTAGAAAAAGAATCGTGCGTTTTCTTGGTTGCCTAACCTCACTTTTTAATTTATTATTCATATTTAATTTTACAATAATTTAATGAAAAATATTAAACATTAACAGTAAAACAAACAAATTGGTGCTTATTATAAATAAATTAAACCAGTTTAGTACGTTAATTTCTTAGAAAAGGATTAATTTGTCAAAACAATACCCCTAGCGAGAAAAAATCGAACTAATTACTTGCCTCATAAAAATTTTTATCGGCCTAGGCCATAACAAGGTATTTTTTATCGAATGTTGACAACAATAAATTTTAAATTATAGACCGCGTGGAGATAAAATACATTAAAATTACATAGGAAGAGTGGTGCCATCTTTTGCTTTTGCTCGAAATCAGTGTAGGCAACTAAAAATTACAGACCACTGTAGAATAAATGCAAGCACAAAACCAATAATTTCATTATCGCAAACTCAAAATTGTATTATCTCTAAATGATAGGGATATAGCAGTGTTCGTGCATTATTTTCTACACTGTACTTTTTGAAATCGTTTAAAAAACGAGAGAGCATATTAACTGCCTCGCCCAAATCTGGAAACACTAAGCTAAGAGCTTTGTTTGCCTGTTGGATAATGCACTATTTATGCCACTTTGCCTCTTTTCTTTAAATCTATAATTAAAAGCATGTATAAAATTTAGTCTTACCTGTTTGATATTTAACATTTGCATAATAAAATCAATACAACATTAATAAAGGCGTGGTGTTAAAATAAAAGACAACAATTGTATATATCTATTTTATTGTTTTTTTATTGTTTTCAGGATATAATAAAAGTCATGGTTTTTTTGTATATCCATAATAATAAAATATATATTTCCAGAACTCTACATAAAAATGGGAAAGCTAAGTGATTTTCAATGACTGTATGAGTTGAATTCGGTCAATAATAAATAAATGTTGCATAAACATTGGTGGCGATTATTTTCAATAGAAAAATCATCATATATTTTAACATAAAATTTGATGCAACTGAGAGCTGCTGACAATTAAAATAAAATACTACAATAATCAGTAATAAACCTACAAACAAAAACTAGTTATACTCGTCAATTAATTCTTAAAAAAAAATAATTTTCGTGAACAATAATTCAATAAATACATATCAACGATTATGATTAATAGTTACTTATTATTAGAGGCGTACATGTTCAATGTAACTCATATTTAAAATTTTACAATAAATTTTTAATCTAAAAAAATTTAACAAATACAAAAATTAAATTTTTTAATGGGCCATCTCAATAAATCTGTCCCATTTATCACAATTAATACAATAAAAATAAATTAGTTTAATTGTGATAGGTGGAGCCACAAGTGAAATGACCCTTATATATCTACGTTTAAAAAAAATGAACATTTTCGAAAGCATTTTGTTCCAAAAAATTGTTTTCACGTGATTTTTCACAAAATAAGCAATATTTACTTTACGTATTTCACACATTATACTGAAAACATAAGTATATATACACCTATATATGCATATGCAGTTGCACAAAAAATGCATATGTATATACATTCTTCATATATATATATGCATACATATATCTAGGTATATACGCTATTTCAGAAAACTAAAGAACCCATCGATGATCTCTCTAGTTTTGTCAAAAACGTACTCTAATTTTTAGTATATATATTTTAATATATATAAGTGCCCTGTTGTTTCATATTTTTTTTTATTTTTATTGAACACATATTAATATGACAGATTATTTACTGTACGCAGCAGGAATTCTTATGCCCATTTTTGGATTTTAGCCGTTGCTTGGGACGGTACCTCTCCAAAAATCCCAATTGCTTTGCGTTAATTGCACCTCTACGTTTCCTGAAATTACAATTTTAATAAAAAATGTAAGTACTATTTCGATGCACTGTATAAATTCCGTAAGCTTACAGTGCGGTACAAGGAAAAAATCAATACTGTGACAAATTTCGCACTAAATGGTTAAAAATTCTCGGAATTTCTCGTATCCACGTAAATCGATGTTATTGTTTCGAGGTTCACAATTTCCGGAAAATTTACATTAATTAAGTTTTCACGGAAAAACCACTAAATTTATGCTCTCAATAATTAACTATTGTTTTAAATTTAGGAAATCTCTTAAGAGAATTCTTTTAACAATTTTAATTCAAACTAAGAGTTCCCATATAATGCAATAGATTACAATAAGAAATTTTTACTGGGTGTTTGAATTCTAATACGACCTCAGATTAGAGTTGCAAAAATGTTAATATAAAAAATAATGCAATCGTCATTTTTTTAATGGTAATGTAGTTTGAATACATTAATCATTAAAAAAAGTTTTTTATCCTAAATCGGCAGTAAAGTAGTCAACAATCGGTAATCGGTAAAGTAAAATAAATCGGCAGTAAAGTAGAACTTACTGCCGATTTAATACGAATATTGTATGCAACCCATTAAACATTTTAAGATGTGTCTACTGCACCTCAGCAGCAACTTAATAATATTTAAAAAAAAGCACCGTCGCGGAGGTCGATTGGACCCTTTCATAAAATGTTGTTTCATAAAAATAATAAGTTAATTTTATTAATTAGATTAAAAAATCGCCGCGGCGGGCAAATATATAATAACCGTCGCCTCGGCAAATAATTTCCACATTTGTGATAAAAATACGACTTTACTGCCTTGATACATAAATAACTATTATGAGAAATATGTACAGCCCGTTTAGAGTAAAACCGAATATAGGGAAACGTATAGGGCGTGGCCTCGCCTCCCTCCAACGCGCGACACAGTAGCTAAGCAAATAGCCTGCATCGCTAATGAGATTTTTTGCATTATTATCATTTAATTTTTAAGGTCGTCTTACCTGCTCGACCTTTCGTCATGTCGTTTATCACACAAGCTACTGTGACGCGCGTTGGAGGGAGGCGAGGCCACGCCCAAAACGTTTTCCTATATTCGGTTTTACTCTGAACGAGCTGTATTTTCATTACACATTAAAAAATTAACGGGTAATGTCGAACAATACATTACTCATTAAAAAATGAGTAATGAGAGACCGTACATTAAACATTAAAAAAATGTGTAACGAGGGACATTACCCATTACATCAATAAAAAATGATCAGGGGTAGGGTTTTTTATATGGGGCATTTACACCAAGTCTGACAGTTTGAAAAATATACACATTACTCATTGCCTCAGACCAAACCCACTTATGGATTGGAACGAAGCAATTCTGAGGTCCAATTCGGATATAGCAAGTCAAAATAAAGTCTTTATACGTATAATAAAAAAACTACTTACTCCCTAATTAGTTCGACGGCCTCCTCGTATTTGAGTCCTAGTTCGATGAGGGCCATGGCAACCATGACGGGGGCCCTGCCGAGCCCTGCGACGCAGTGAACCGCTACGCAGGTGTCATGATTGTCCTGGAATTGTTTTTTTAGCACCTTAAACCATCCTTCGACAATTTCCTTTGGCGGATAGGTACCGTCAGCGTAACCGAGATCGTAGACTTGAATCCCTTCATTATTTAACTCGTCTATTTTGTATGACGGATCGCAAACCCTTACCACCGCTGCAACATTATGCTTCTTCAACTCCTGTAAAGAATTTTTTGTTAAAGAAAAGTTTTTGCTCAAGTTTTATGTTAAACAATTTTGTAAAAGTAAAGGTCCTCATTTCAGTATCTAATCATTTATGATTGTAGTCATTTTAGATTATCTTCATTTTAACATGTCGTCATTTGGGTATATATAATTTTTTGTCACGTCATTTTAGCTTATAGTAATTTTATTTAGAAGAACAGCATCGGTCTTTTCTGGTGCCAACTGCAGCTGTTTTTGCTCCAGCCAGTTTTCCAGGAGTTGTAGTTCTGATTCTACAACGTAGTTTCTGTTTTGGCAGTGACCACCGTTGACACGTCGTCTGCAAAGCCCACGAGTGTAGCTCCTTCAGGCATTTCTGTTTTAAGAAGACCATCACATATAAAGTTCCATAGGGTTGGTCCCAGTACAGATCCTTGTGGAACGCCGCTGTTGACTTGAAGACAATGTCTTCCTCTTCTACCAACACCTTTCTGTTTGAAAGGTATGAGGAAATAATACTTATCAACTCTCGTTGATTCCTTTTAACTTTACTTTCCCCAGTATGTGCTGCCAGGATGGGCTGGTATCTATTATCTTTATCTTTTGCTTGTCAATATTTTTGGTTATCGTCATTATAGCTTGGGGTCATTTTATTGTGTTGTTGTTTAAGCTTGTCGTCATTGAGTCCAGAGATTTTTGGCTTGTCTTCATTTTAGATTGTAGTCACTTCACCTTGTGATTATTTTAGCTTGCCGTAATCTGTCTTTCCTTCATTTCAGCTTTTAGTCATTTAGGCTAGTCGTCAATCTAGTTTATCTTCATTTAAGCTTGTTACATTTAAACTTAACGTCAATTTAGCTCATAGTTTTGCAGCTTGTAGTGTTTTAGCTTATCTTCATTTTAGCTTGTCATTGTTGCGGTTATTTTATCTTGTCGTCATTTGGGTTTATAGTTTTTCATCCTACATTTTATTTTGTCGGCCTGCGTATGAAATTCATGGTATATATATATTTAAAAAGGTATAATATAAAGATAAGTCAATTGGGTTAATGGAAAATCAGCTAAAAATATCGTAATTTATCGAATCGAAACAACTTGGCTTCAAGCAATACAATTTTTATTGCAAATTGGTAATATGAGATTTTTTGCGGAATGTATTCACAGACATTCAACACGCGTCATAACAAAATAATAACCTGATAAAAAATTATCATAAGATTTCAATTACATAGCTTATATAAACATCTATCAATTCTTACTTCTTGCTTCTAAAATACAGGGTGTTAAAAAGTTAAATATTATTTACAATGCATGACATTTTTTTTTACATTTTCCCAACAACTGTTCATATTTTTAAAATAAATAAATAAAAATTTGTTACAATACAAAATAAAATCATGCAGTTGGGGCAGACACTAGAATAAGCTGGTCATAATTTTAGTTTGTCAGCATTCCAGCTAGTCATTTAAGCCTTTTAACATTTTAGCTTGCCATAATTTTAGATTGTAATCATCTTAGCTAGTCGTCATTTAAGCTTGTCATCATCTTAGCCCGTCATGTAATTTCAAACTTGTCTTCTTTTTAGCTTTTCTTTATTTAATATTGTCATAATTTAAGCTTGTCAATATTTTAGATTGTCATTATTTAAGCATGCCGATATTTTTGCTTTTAGGCATTTTGGAATGACATGTTATTTAAATTGTCGTAATTTTAGCTTATACTTATTTTAGGTTGTAGTCATTTAAGCTTGTCATTATTTTATATTGTCATCATTAAAGCTTGTCATTATTTTAGCTTGTAGGGCTCTGCATGTCATTTTGGCCTGTCATGTAAATTAAATTGTCATAATTTTAGCTTATTTTTATTTTACCTTGTAGTCATTTAAGCTTGTCATTATTTTAGATTGTCATCATTTAATCTTGTCGATATTATAGCTTTTAGGATTGTGCATGTCATTTTGGCCTGTCATGTAATTTAAATTGTCATCATTCTAGCTTAGATTGTATTCATTTAGGCGTGTCATTATTATAGCTTAAAGGCATTTTTAGCTTGTCGTCATTTAAAGTTTTAATCATTTTGTCTTGTTATTATTTAAGCCTGTCATCATTTTAGCTGGTAGTCATTTAAGCAGTCATTATTTTAGATTGACATCATTTTAGCTAGACGTCATTCAGTTTGTCATCATTTTAGTACTTATTAATGTTGAGCTTGTTTTTCTTTTTGTTGATTGTTATTTTAACTTGTCGATACTTTAGCTTGTGTTTATTTTAGATTGTCATTATTTTAGAGACACCATTCGATGTTTTAGCTTTTAGGGCTCTACACCTTGTTTTGGCCTGTCATGTTTTTTAAATTGTCATCATTTTAACTGGTGATTATTCTACCTAGTCGTTATTTAGCTTGTCATTATTTTAGCCTGTCATGTAATGTTAAGCTTGGCTTTTTTTGCTAGTTAATATTTTAGCTTGTGTTCATTTAAGCTTGTCATTACTTTAGATTGTCATCATTTTGGAGACATCATTTAAGATTGTCGATATTTTAGCGTTTAGGGCTCTGCATTTCATTTAAGCTTGTCATGTAATTTAAATTGTCGTCATTTTAGCATGTAAGTCATGCAAGCTTGTCATTATTTTAGCTTGTAGGGCTCTGCATGTCATTTTGGCCTGTCATGTAAATTAAATTGTCGTAATTTTAGCTTATTTTTATTTTACCTTGTAGTCATTTAAGCTTGTCGATATTATAGCTTTTAGGATTGTGCATGTCATTTTGGCCTGTCATGTAATTTAAATTGTCATCATTCTAGCTTAGATTGTATTCATTTAGGCGTGTCATTATTATAGCTTAAAGGCATTTTTAGCTTGTCGTCATTTAAAGTTTTAATCATTTTGTCTTGTTATTGTTTAAGCCTGTCATCATTTTAGCTGGTGTCATTTAAGCAGTCATTATTTTAGATTGACATCATTTTAGCTAGACGTCATTCAGTTTGTCATCATTTTAGTACTTATTAATGTTGAGCTTGTTTTTCTTTTTGTTGGTTGTTATTTTAACTTGTCGATACTTTAGCTTGTGTTTATTTTAGCTGGTCCTTATTTTAGATTGTCATTATTTTAGAGACACCATTCGATGTTTTAGCTTTTAGGGCTCTACACCTTGTTTTGGCCTGTCATGTTTTTTAAATTGTCATCATTTTAACTGGTGATTATTCTACCTAGTCGTTATTTAGCTTGTCATTATTTTAGCCTGTCATGTAATGTTAAGCTTGGCTTTTTTTGCTAGTTAATATTTTAGCTTGTGTTCATTTAAGCTTGTCATTACTTTAGATTGTCATCATTTTGGAGACATCATTTAAGATTGTCGATATTTTAGCGTTTAGGGCTCTGCATTTCATTTAAGCTTGTCATGTAATTTAAATTGTCGTCATTTTAGCATGTAAGTCATGCAAGCTTGTCATTATTTTAGCTTGTAGGGCTCTGCATGTCATTTTGGCCTGTCATGTAAATTAAATTGTCGTAATTTTAGCTTATTTTTATTTTACCTTGTAGTCATTTAAGCTTGTCGATATTATAGCTTTTAGGATTGTGCATGTCATTTTGGCCTGTCATGTAATTTAAATTGTCATCATTCTAGCTTAGATTGTATTCATTTAGGCGTGTCATTATTATAGCTTAAAGGCATTTTTAGCTTGTCGTCATTTAAAGTTTTAATCATTTTGTCTTGTTATTGTTTAAGCCTGTCATCATTTTAGCTGGTAGTCATTTAAGCAGTCATTATTTTAGATTGACATCATTTTAGCTAGACGTCATTCAGTTTGTCATCATTTTAGTACTTATTAATGTTGAGCTTGTTTTTCTTTTTGTTGGTTGTTATTTTAACTTGTCGATACTTTAGCTTGTGTTTATTTTAGCTGGTCCTTATTTTAGATTGTCATTATTTTAGAGAAACCATTCGATGTTTTAGCTTTTAGGGCTCTACACCTTATTTTGGCCTGTCATGTTTTTTAAATTGTCATCATGTTATTATTTTTGCTTGTATTTAAGCTTGTCATTATTTTAGATTGACATCATTTTACCTAGTCGTCATTTAGCTTGACATTATTTTAGCCTGTCATGTAATGTTAAGCTTGTCTTTTTTTTGCTAGTTATTATTTGAGCTTGTCATTACTTTAGATTGTCATCATTTAAGCTTGTCGATATTTTAGCATGTAATTTAAGCTTGTCATGTAATTTAAATTGTCGTCATTTTAGCTTGTAGTCATGTAATGTTAAGCTTTATTTTAGATTGCTATCATTTTAGCTTGTCATTACTTCAGCTTTTCGTCATCACGTTATGTTAAGCTTGTCTCTATTTTAGCTAATAATCATTTTTGCTTGTTATAATTTAGGTAATTGTAAAACTTGTCAATATTTTTAACTTGTCTTTTTTTATTGTTTTAGCTCAAAGAATATAATAGAACAAATATGCTGTAATACATCTACTGTGAAAAGCTATGTAAGGTTTAATATACCTAACTTTTGTCTAGGTTTAGATATAGAATTGCAAATAGAATATAAAAATGATAATAAGTAGAGTAAAAATTCTTACCTGTATGTACGTGTGTATAGTTTGGTCGGAAGGTCTATCTGTGATGAGGAACTTAAAGCCCTTGTGCTCAATCTCGGCCGCAGCTGGTCTAATATCGAGTCTGTCCTTTTGACGCATCGCGGCTGATGTGATTTGGCCCGTTTGTGAATTATTTACACTTTGGGTCATAACTTTTGAACAATCCTCAGTATTAAAATATCCCTTATTATCACTGTCCAATTTTCCTTGTGTTGTTGTTGTTGTTTCTTCGATTTAATAAATAGTTTATGTTAAACGTTCGTTTATTAAAATTAATATTTATTTGTTGTGTTGTGTTTTAGAGAAAAATATAATATATAATAGAGAAATATTTCAGTCTTTTTAACAACTTAATGTATTTTAGTTAGAACTTTTAGTTATGTACACTAAATTTATATAGTTGATATGCTTCTGAAAAAATTTTCAGGGAAGAACTAAAATAAATAGCCTATTGTTGACGTTTTACAATACAATACAGGTTAATTTTGTCTCCTATGAAGCTCAACGTACTGTTTTATTTGGCCTTTGATGAGGTAAATCCAATACAATGCAATGCAATAAATAAACAAATGACTAAATTCAATAGGTTTCGCTTGTCTTTTCTATTTCCTCTCTTTTACAAATTTATTTGTGTTGAGCCTGGCAATATTCTGAACTATCCAAATGGAACTCCATGTATGCGAGTACTGTCTCACCAAGATACTGAAACAAAAATTCCATGACAGATTAACTTTTTACACACAGCTCGACGATTTTAATCGATATTGCTATAAACCATAGCCTCGTGGCCCACTTTAAAATGCTAATCCATGTTTTTAGGTCATTTTAGATTTATACCATACATTTTTATATTATTAATTTCATAAATGCACGTACTGCGTATAGTACAGAAGAAGATATTAGCAATGCTTTTTACCCATTTACTAGATTGGCTCCTACAAGAATCCCAAATTATCTAAATCAGTCAGACGCCTGCGTCCGACTGTTTTTGACAGTGTGGAACAAACCTAAATCTGAACCTTTTAAATACACATTAACAAGGTGTGGCTTTATGGCATTTTAGTCACTGGTTGTCAAATGTCATAGCAACAGGTTTTTAGTCTTGTTAAATAATACTTAAAGTAAAAAATATGTATTTTATAATCTCAATACAAAAATATTAAATTGTTTCTTAACGCCAATATTTGAAAAGTTTATACGAACATTGTACTGACCTTTTAATTTCGCCGATAGTAAACTAGATTTAACTTAATTTCGGGTGGAGTGGGCCATAAAACATTTTCTTTACTTTTACTGTAAAAAGTATTTGTCGTGGAAAAAGTTTAGTATGCAACTCGTTTATAAACTTTTCTAGACACTCATTTAATTAGGCACTCGCTCGCAATCTCGCTCGTGCCTATATTAAATTTGGCGTTCATACATTATATACTATAAATTATCTGTTTAAAATGCACCTGGAGTGTTAATATTTTTCATTTATGTGGTGCAAATTGATTCATTTCAATTTTAATAACATTTAATAACGTTCAATAAAAAACCCAATGTAGTAATGTACATGTGTAATTCAATAATAGCGAAGTTAAATGGATAAATTCAATTAGTTAAAATTGTAGAACTCTACTTAATTACGTTATACCAAGCAGAATTTTAAGTTAAAATAACTACATGTTTACTTTTACAGTAAAAGAAAATAAAAACCAACTAAATATCAGATATTTACGTAAAAATAACGTTAAAATTACTTTTTTATAATATACATATTTATTTAATTTTTTCTACTCCCACCTTTAAAACGCCCTTTATCGTACATGTTTCCATGACACTAAGTGACCTTTTAAATACACATTGACAAGTTGTGGCTTTATGGCACTTTAGTCACGGGCTGAAGTTAGTTTTAAGTTAGTTGACAGTTGTCAAATGTCATACAATCGTTAAAATAAAGTAAAATAATACTAAATGTGAAATTATTTTATTATCTCAATACAAAAATACAAAAGTATTAAATAGTTTCTCAACGCCAATATTTGAAAAGTTTATATGAACATTGTACTGACCTTTTAATTTCGCCGGCAGTAAACTATAACTTAAATTCGGGCACGGACTCCACTGTAAAGTGCTCATAAAACATTTTCCTTACTTACACTGTGAAAATTTGTCAATTTTCAAGAAATGCATTTCGTTTTATAACCTTCATAATCTGTGTTTATAAAATACAAAAATGTGACATTTGAAGGTGACACACAGATTCCCCTATTGTTTCATAGATGGCGCTATATACAAAATTTTGATTTAAATCATTTTAAGATAATAATAAATATTTGTTGTAGAAAAAGTATAGTATGCACCTCGTTTATAAACTTTTCTATACACTCATTAATTTAAGCACTTGCTCGCAAGCTCGCTCGTGCCTAAATTAAATTTGTGTATAAAATGGCGTTTATAAAACTTGATACATAATATACTATTATTTATAATATACATATTTATTTAATTTTAATAACTTCGTAATGCTACAATACTTTTTTGTATTAATTTAATTTTAATAACTTCGTAATGCTTGGAAAATTATACCTACAATACTTTTTTCTAAAACATTTCTAGAACACAATTACATCAATTTTTATTAAATATCAAATTACATATTTAATATGGCGTATTTAATAAAGTTTTATTTTTCACACAATAATTTTTATATACGACTTTAAACCTAAAAAAGATCCCAGACAAATAATAATTATAAAGTTGTTATAAAGTGTTTTTAATATGATGGTAAAAATATTTCTCTACTATTGCATAATATTGTGTTTTTTTCTCTGAATAGTGATAAACATTATAAATTCTATGCCTAATAACGTGAATAATGAACTCATTATTCACGTTGTTCACTGTGATTTGAACCAATCGGGTTTTAAATTGGAAGAAGGCGACTATATTAACATTTAAATTTGGTAAAAATGTGAGGTTAACCATTTGACAGATGTCAGATTTTATTTAATTATTTTTTGAAAATCATTTAATTATCTACCTACTTATTGGAGTAGGTAAATTATAGTATTACACTCGAAATTATGCGCATTATTCATTTGGATGATTAAAGTCTCTCGCCTGGCGACTTATCCTCGTGAATAATAGCCTGCATTATCTCTCGTATAATAATATACTATTATGTTACATTTACCGTAAAAAATCCCTTATAACAAAATAACCCAACAGTAAGTTTCTTTGGTAAAAATTACGTTAATTTAACATTATTAAAATACTTTAAAGTTATGAAACTTTATGGGTTTTAAAGAAATATAAAAATATATAATAAAAACTTGATGGCCTTAATCAACATATTTAATTAAAGCTCTATAAGATTATATTACTTAAAATGCTTTAAGCAGATGAATAAGTTGAAAATTGTGGGAATTTAAACAATTTAAGTGCTCTATAAAAAGGTTGAAGGCGCCTGTCTAGACATTTAGTAATGTATTAATAAATTTAATTATTATCCCATATTTTGGGTTGTTTTCACAAATAATAATAACAATGACCTCTTCTAGAAAACCGTTTGTCAGGGTGCCAAAATATAAGCTCGTTTTATAAATACAATGGAGTTCATTTAAATCAATGTCACCTTCATTCCTATGGATGGTTATGTGCCATATGATAATTGAATTTAATTTTAAAATGATTCAATTAACAATTTAATGTTTACACACACAACTCCTTTTATATTGTTTGTATAATAATACCTACGTAATAAAATGACGTATGTTGAATTTATTTTTTATTATTGTAATTATTGTAAAGATGTATAAAAACAATCATTCAACGATAAACATACCTTAAACCGATGTATTTTGCAACACTTGAGTTTGGTAAATGAAAAAATTGCGTTTCGTTCGAAAAACAAACTTTTCACGTGGTGGCGGCTCTATTTTCGTACGCGTGATGCTAATTTACTTTCCAAATATAATTAAAACTGATATTGGCCACAAACAACACCACTCTCACATCGAACCTACAAGAACTGTTAAGGCCTTCGACAACCGATTGATACTGACGTTACGTATTATCAATTGAAAACAGTCAATTTGTGCCCCTCCACTGCCACATAATTTAGCGGAATTATGATTGACAACAAAAAAATCAAGTTAACTCGAGCGCAACACAACTCGAAAATATCACAAAAAATCTTTTAAATAAAGGAGTTACACGAAACGCGAACGTTTGCCAAATTATTCAATTTACGTGTGTGCGAAATAAAATTAAGTTAAAAAAATATGTATGTTATTTGTATATCTTATAAATATTTTTCCACTGCAATTTTTTAGGAAAACTAATAAACGATTTTGTTTATTAATTTATATGTAATTTGCAATAAATTTAATGTTTAATAAAAAAAATATCCATTAAATGCCACAAGTGATTAAGCAATGACTCAACATTGTAAATAAAGATAAACAAAGTAAATTATAGTTTACATGAAAACAGCTTGGAATAAATAACGTTTTTATAAAAAAAATTGGGTCGGTTTTATATTCATTTTATATACGCTCAAAAATTTACAGGGTTGTTCGCCAAATTGTTCAGTAAGCAAACAAAAAAAAATGCATGAGTTGTCCCCCCAAAATAAAAAATCGACGTGTTTTTTACGTAACACCTGAGAAACTTTTCATTGGCCCACCCTGTATAATCAATTCAATGACAATTAACGCATTTGGTTTTTTTTTAAATTTTTTCACGGTCTCATTTAATTCTAAAATTTGATGACAGCCATAAAAAATTGTCAGAATATTTTCCGATTGCTATTTTGTGCAATTTAACCCAACATCGTTTAGGAAAAATAGATTTAAAACTGCGTGTTTATTTTTTTTGGTGACCGGAGTTTTAGTTTTTAAATAGTAAATTTTTTACAGTCCAGGAAAAGTCTTTAATATAGTATCACTGAATTGTTTTATAAATTTATTAGTTCATAATTTTTTCGACAAAAGTAAACAACAAATTTATTATTATTTTGTAATTTTTTTTGGTTTCCAATGTCAACAAGTGACAAATCAATTTTAGGTCTGGTTTAAAAGAATAAGAGATTCGAAAAAATCTTTAAGATGTTTTGAAAGTCTGCAAAAAAATTCTTCCCAAGAAAGCTAAAATTTATGAAATAAACATTTTATAATAAAGTAATAATTTTTGTGTTATTATTAGTTTACTAGGTTTTTACATAACTTACACTTTTTACCACCAAAATAACATTTTTTTTCTCTTAAATGCCTAAAAATTGCATTTTTTAACAAACCCCAAATCAGCTTGATATGCCGTTGTTATAAATTACAAAATTGCTTAATAGTATATTATGTATCAAGTTTTATAAACGCCATTTAAGTAACGAGTTTTATTAGGCACGAGAAAACCTTGCGAGCGAGTGTTTAATAAAAACGAGTGTCTAAAGAAGTTTACAAAACGGGTTGGTTGCATACGACGAACACAAAGAATAAATTAAAGCCAATTTTATTTGTTAAAAAATAATTTACATCTGTCAACTGTCAACGGATTTAACCTCACTTTTTTGCAATTTACAATAAAGCTAACTTCAGCCCGTGACTAAAATGCCCAAAAGCAACTGTTGCTAACTTTTGCCTGTGACTAAAATGCCATAAAGTCACAGCTTATTAATAGGGGAGTAGATAATGGTATATTATGTATCAAGTTTTATAAACGCCATTTTAGTTACAAGTTTTATTAGGCACGAGCGAAGCTTGCAAGCGAGTGCTTAATAAAAACGAGTCTCTAGACACTTTAAACTTTATCTACGACGAACACAAAGAATAATTTCATGCCAATTTTATTTGTTAAAAATTTGACATCTGCCAGCTGACAACAGTTTAATGTGACTAAAATGCCCAAAAGCCACTGTTGTTAACTTCAGCCCGTGACTAAAACGCCATAAAGTCACAGCTCGTCAATGTAGGAGTACATGAAATTATTCAAAAAGGTTCACACTTTCTTTAAAAAAAAATTGACTCCTCTTAAAAACAAACGGTAAAGGGGGGAAGAAAAAACAAATGCATGTTTGTGCTGATTTAGGTGCATTATAACGATAAAAACAATTAAAAAAAAAAACATTATTTCATTTGATTGCACAATATTTAAACAATTCGTCCCGGCGCATTCGCCATTTTTTGCAGTGTTGTTTTTAATATTAAATTACAAGCTGAAATCGATATTTTTCAGACGTTGAGTATGATAATTAAAATAGTTTAAAAGTTGTGTTAATATTTAGGGATTTTATTTAAAATTGAGTTTGCCAAAGTTTAAATGAAATTTCGCCCAGACTGGTTGGGCTAATATTTGGATGTTGCGAGTAAGACCACATATCTTAGCAACGCTGTCTGTCTATATTATTTATTTTACCTCTCGACGTTACAGAAGGTCGATTTCACCTAAAATCCCTTCTATAGAGATATAGATTCAGACGCCCTCGTTTTTTAAATTTCCTGTACTGACCTTTTGATTTCGCCTGCATTAAAGCCTAATTTAGGGTGAAGTACCCATAAAACATCCTCTTTACGTTTACTGCAAAAACTGCTTCTATATGGGATTTAAACGGTTGTTAGTCCATTTTTAAGGCAGAAATTTCAATTTTTACAGGAAAATTCCACAACCTGACACTGACATTTTGAAAGCCGGTAAAACAGGTTCCTAACACCAATTTGGCTACTCTATTTTCGTATAGATGTGGCTCTATGCAAATATTTAAATTAATTAGTTAGTAAATATTATTTTTTATAATAATAATTGTCGTAAAAAAAGTATAGTATTTTTTATTAAACAAGCTTCGATCGTGCCTAATTAAAATTTGTGAGTAAAATGGCGTTTATCAAACTTAATGCATGTTATACTATATTCCACTCCCACTTTTAAAACGCCCATGTTTCCACAAAACTAAGTGATATTTTAAATACAAATTGACAAGTTGTGGCTTTATGGCGTTTTAGTCACGGGCTGAGGTTAGCAACAGGTTTTTAATCACGGGCTGAAGTTAGTCTTAAGTTAGCTGACAGCTGTCAAATGCCCTTGTAAAATGTAAAAATTATTTTTTATCTCAATATCTCAACATTTTCTTCACTTTCACTGTGAAAAGCTGCTTTTATCATCATCATTTAAACGGTTGTTAGTCCATTTTCAAGTTAGAAATTCTTACACGAGTTAGAAATTCTTACACGAGTTACTCTTTTTTATAGATGTCGCTCCATACCAACATTTAATTAAAATCATTTTTGGATAATAATAAGTATTTGTCGTGGAAAAAGTATAGTATGCAACTCCTTTATAAACTTTTCTAGACACTCATTTAATTAATCGTAAGCTCGCTCGTGCCTAATTAAAATTCTTGACTGAAATGGCGTTTATCAAACTTAATACATAATATACTATTATGCTTTAGAAATAATCCAGACAACTCAATAAATATCAAGTTTTTATTTTTAAACCAATTATTCTATAATACAACAAACTCAAACAAGATATTGTTTATACTTGCATGTTGTTTGCCTTGGGCTGCGATTTTATTTACACGTAGATATGTATATTTATGTATAGTTAGCAAAAAAAAATTAAGGAAAAATAATTAGATGAATCCTTTCACAAAGGATTGTTGGTACAATCATAGTCAGCGTATTTATTTATTTATCATATTTACATTGTTTTTGAGTCAGTCACACCATTCTTGATAAAATTCGAAAAAATAATAACTATTTTGCAGTGCAATGTCAAAAAAAATATATTTGCAAGGTTTTGGTATGATTATTGTAAATAGTCTCAATTAGATTAGATATAAAACACATTGCGTTAAACGCAATCTAAAAATAACCTCGCGATTATCGTTAAACTACCACCTCAATAATCGAAAATATTAGAATTTTGTTTATTTTTTTTTAGTATATTTTCAGACGCTGGGCTTTGTTAGAAATCCTGCACAAGCGCAATTAAGGGGTCGAACCAAAAGGCTCATACAGGACATTAACCTTCTATTAAACGCAAAACCTTTTTATACGCGATTATTCACCTTTTTTATCTGTATATGATTTTAGTCATAAATTGGAATAAAGTATCGAATTACTATTACATATGTATTACAAACTGTTAAAATATCAATGTCAACGATAAGGCATTTCTAAGAAAATAAATTTCCTAAAATTAGCTGGTATTTATATTTTCTTACAAATGTCATTTGAAACCCTAAATATTATTTCTTTATTCTTTTTTCTTACGAAGTCAAGTTCAAGAATATTAAAAAATAATGCTTCCATCCAGGGAAAGCCTATTAGTTAATGTAAAAAATAGTAAACAATTTCAATGAAATTGTGTACCTAATAAACTGTTGACATAAAAAGGATGAAAGTTCGATATTACCTGGAAAATACTTCCAAGAAGGCAAACATTTTATAAAAGAAACTTTTTCAAGTATTATTTAAACGGCTTTTGGATCAATAAAATTATTATTATTATAAACTTGTTAAATTGTCAATAAAAATAGTTTATAGGTAAAATACCTAACTATTTACTAAATAGTATTTAGTTTATATTTTATGGTATAGTAGGTACATGCAAAAAACATAAGTTATCGAGGTCGTTATAGCAAGGTTAATAATGATATGAATTTTAAGGAAGTCAGTTAAAAATGTAATTTAAAAATCTCGATGAGTATAAAATTAATATTCTTCACACTAAAAACTATTACTCTAATTTTGCGGTTAGCATTTCCTTTTTAAAATTCCAACACTGAATAATAGAAAACAATTTATAAAAATTTGTAGGGTATAAATAATATGACAGTGTAATAAAATGTAAATATGTCTACCTACTTTTCTTAAACAAAAAGGTAAACTGCAAATAGTATTTAATGCTGTAGATTTATTTTAAGTATGGAGATTAAAATCCTAATAATTTAATTCCTAACCGCTTTACGTAAATAGATTTGCAAACAACATCTAAAAATAATGTTTATTTTGAAGAAGATAAATAAATAATTTGGGGTAGGTACACAAAATTGCAACATGTTGTAACATTTAAAAGAATATTTCCTTAAACCGATGTAGGTAGCAAACTAAGGAGGTCATACAAAATTTTCACTAATTTTAAAATGAGTGTTAATTTTAGACATCGACGAAATTAAGCTATTTTAAACCGTATTTGTTATCTCCATAATCTACATAATTTTGCACGTTTTTGAACGAAACCCAATATTTTCAATAATTCGAAATTTTATGTAATAAAAATTACTCACCACAATAGCCATACACATTGAAAATAGAGTTGACGGAATTTCCTTCCAAATCCACGTAAAATGTGGATAAAATATTATCACAACACAAAAGCGGTTTGCACAAAACTACTCGAAACCAGGCCTGGGTTTGTACAAGATGGTCTCTAGTTAATTTTATCTGACGTCACATTCCCACCACCACCACAGCTAGAACTGTGTTGAATACTCATCGATGACGTCATTCGACGTTTCACTCCCACTTGTGCCTACAATATACCGAATGTTCTCCATGGGCGACATTTTGTTGCCACATATCGATCCATCCACCTCGAGCTCCTTTTTTACATGGGTTCTATGCAACCAACATCACGAAAACATTAAAAACATACACCAATCAATAATACTTTCATAGCTTTACCCTCCAGGTTGCAGATGGCGCCACATTTAAAAGGCAGAGTGATCCAAAATTTTAAAAAAATGAGGGTAAATAAAAGACCAATATAAAATATAAATTTGTATTTCAGTGAGTGAACAAAATAAAAATGTTTAACAAAATTTTACTAACATCAGAAAAATGAATGCTAATTAACTGGTGTTGAGTTTCTTTAACTACAAATAAATAGTTTTTTATAGTATAGTTTTAAAAAACAGAATAAAATAAAATGTATCTAAGAAAAATTAATCTAAATTGCATTTCATATTTATCTTCGTTTGCATCTATTCTTTAAGAAGAAGCTAAAGTGATGTAAGAATAAGTTCTTCTATAGATAGATACATCTAATAGTTTAGAGATTCTTCTATATCATGTGTAATAGATTAATTTAAAAGTGGCACTGATTAATAAATTATTATTTTTATAACATAAGTACATATTAGGTTTAACAAAGGTCAAATTCGAGTTGATAGGATCCAACATTTTTAAAATACAAAAATATTTTCGAGTTAAAGTTGAAGCAATTTTTCAGTTAAAAGTTAAAATATTATGGAATGTTTTATCATTAATTTTGTTAGAATCGTTTTCTTCGTAGACAAATGGTCAATTTATGTTCACAATCAAACCCTAAATTTAAGTTATACTCAAATAATATAAACATATTAATGGCATGATCCATTCTTATTTAAGGATAGTTCAGGGTTTTTAAGTGTGTCATAAGGCAGGAGTATTGATTAAGTGGTAAGTCTACAGTTTAGGTGGTCTAATCCTTAACGAACTAATTCGTTTACTTCATTCCTACAAAACACTTAACATAATCTCTAGGAAGATTCCAACTTTTTCTCAGGAGTATCCCTCTCGGAATCAGAAATATCAGGTGAAGTGACTTTTTTCTCTTCAGGAACAGCATCTTTCTTTTCAGCTGCTTTTGGAGATCCTGGGCATTCGTAGGCACTGACGGAACTTAAATTTCTTCGGTGGCCTGTCCAATGAGTACCCTCCTCAAATACTAAATTTATTTTATTATCAAGTTTAACCCTGCAAGCATTTACTTACATTTATCTAAGCTTATAATGGAACCGACAACTTCATTGGCAGTGATCACCTTATCATCATCCAATTGTTTTCTACGCCTGACCAACCACCAATCAATCATAAATATGCCCAAGGCTAAGATTTTAATACCGGCACAGAGACCAACATATTTATATCTAAATGATTCTATATCGTAGAGAAGACATCTGCCCCCCTTGGAACCGCAAGTACTCTTCCACAAAAGACAAGTGGAGTCGATCAGATTACCGAATAAAATCGGGGCGGGTATATAACCGAACAGGCGGAATATCACGAACTGCATGCCGAGGGCGAACGAGCGCTCTTCCTCACTTACAGACCTAGAAGATAACAGAACATGTGAGTGGTCCGCATACTGCTCAGTAGATGAACTTACCTTAACACTATCATAAGAAGCGGCATTTGTGTAATTGCCACTATAAAAGTCATAAAGAATAGTAATATCAAAAACGGATATATTGTTCGACAAGACGAGTTACATGGACCTGCGGTTGCCACCGGTACGACGGTTACCTCGGCATATTCGCTTTCTGTAAGTGAGGCAATGTTGATTGAGGGACTCGTTCCACTCAATAAACTCATGTTTCCATGTATACCTATATAAAAAAAAATATAGTTTTATACAGCAATATTCTTATGGTACTTACAGGCACAGTTGGTGTAGTTAGAACTTAGTATAGAGGTGCATCCAGCATGACAAGGGCTGAAATAGGTGAGCCCATTGTTTCCGCAAACCGGTTCCACATCGTTCATGCTGCACTCGCACCCGAAATTGCAGGCCGAAGTTAAATTAACTTGAAAAGGTTCGGAATGCGTGCTGTTAAAGTACGGTATAGTCGTACCGGCCATTTTCAAATTGTCGCATCCCAGGAAGAAGAGTAAAGTGTAGCATATTAAACAAATGACGTTCGATATCAGTACGAACTGTACTGCTCCTTTTGGTCGGAGTTCCATGCGTTTTAATATGCATCCGCCCATGAATATGCCTATACAAGCACCTGGTATGGCTATTGAACCTGTGAACACGCTGGCTTGGCTTTTGCCCAAGCTGAACTGCGTTTCGAGATACTTCGGTAAGAAAACCACGAATCCAGACACGATAATAAGTTCCATACAGGCGCCCAAACAAGTAACGATGTAGACTGGGTTACAGGCCAAGCGCCACATCGATTTGGGTATGTCTTTTATATCTTTTCCATATCCAGAATCGTTGTTAGTGTTGGCGTTCTTATTGTTACTACTGCCAGCAGCGTTGACGGCCGCCTTTTCCATAAGTCTTATTTTCTCCTTTTCGTGAGTAAGAACTTTGGGAAACGAAAAAAACGGTATAGCCACAACGATAAGGAGCAAGCCTCCTAGTAAAAATCCACCCCACCACATTCCGACCCAACGGCTGTCGCCGGCATCGATTGATATGATTTTTGATAGCGAATCCATGTGGAAAGATAAAAGATAGGCACCTAGTAAAAATCCCATGACAGGGCCAAAGGCGGCCATACTGTACATGCAACCAATGTATATGGATGAGCTTTCTGGTCTGACATGATCATCGATGTAGGTCGTGCCTAGAGTAAAAAGAGGTGACCCCCCACAACCCAACAGTAATTGAGCTAGTATAAAAAGCAAGACGGGCCCTGTCGTGGACGGCGAACCCTGTATACAGTTATCGCCTCTTAAGTTGTTCGGGGCCAATGGAGGCGACGATAACCCCGACGAAAGTCTTCCCAGTCCCATGTCTTGCTCATGAACCGTAACAACGCGACACATATTTTCCTCGGAACTATTCGCCTGCACGACCACATTCTCGTCCGCTATAAAATGCGGCACCATAAATATCAGGGATCCTATTCCCATTATCACAGCCCCGAATCCGATCCATACGGGAATATGGCGGCGGCTGCCCAAGTAACTCACGAATATCACGGTAATCACATTGCCTATTTCATAAGATGATGCCACCAAACCAGAGAGGCTCGACGGTATTTCAAAACGTTTTTCTATCGTTGTTATCACAGAGTTGATATATCCGGAACTTAATGCTTGTTGCAAGGTAACAAGGAATGACAGAAGGAAAACGAAAAACTAAAAAAAAGATTATGGTTGTATGGCAACGTATTTTTCACCTCCGAGCAGTACTTATCCAAAACACTTGGCCCATGATATTAACATATCCAAGTTGAAACCTTGCAAAGTACTGCTTGAGATCTGGACAACATATTTACCTTAATTCCGGCATACTTTTGAATAAACGAGGGACGACATGACAAAATGCCGCATTCCTTTGTATCCCTTATTATCACAGCTTGTTGTTCATTAGTATATGTTGTGCTATGCGCAGCCTTGTCTCTGTCAAACCCTGCAGATGGATTTCTGCTATGACACTTGACGACTGTGTCATGACAAAAAGCGGTCGTACACTTGGCATCGCTGCTGTCCATTTGCTCGGGAACCGATTCCGAGTACAATCCAGTCATGGCGTACATCGATTCTTGTCGTCGATGACCTTTGCAGTGACCTTGAGTTTGACCCGATGACGATGATGTAGATGCCGACAATGTTCCTGCATTAGTCGTCGCCGCGCCATCATTGGTTGTTCCCGGGCTTACGATAGTTGTCCCAGTCATTTTTTAGTTGTTGATGATTTTCATTACCCTCAATTTGCTCATTGATACGCCTAAAACAACAAATACGATCCTTTTACTGCGCAGAACGCTACGGGTAAATCTGCGCAGTAAAATATACAGAATAAAATGTAAACAATCTGTTTACTGAATTTAAGCAAAGTAAGGATTCATTTATAAATAAATGAACTTAAAAAAGGATTAGCAATTTTTCTGGCAAACTATCAAATATGTTAGAATGTACTGCAATAAACATTGAAAAAGCCGCAGCTAGATTATAAAGTGAAACATTTAATTACCTAATATAGAATTCGTTTTCATGTAAAGGAACTTTTCGATCTACGAAATTATGTTTTAAAATAGAACACCCCAACCAATATCGGAAAAACGATTCTGCATTATTAAATCGTGAAGGTCAATTACAAACAGTCTGTACAAAATTAAAGCCTATTTTTTTTACCTCAATTCGTAAAAAGAGTTATACAACTACATTAATAAGTAGGCATAGCAAGTAAAAGTATAAGAATAACCTTTATAATGTGTTTTTCCACACTCTTGAACAAAGTAAAATATTTTTACACTAGTTAAATAATGAACATATTGTACAATATTAATTAAAACAATTCTGTTTCAAAAAGCAATAAACATATTCCGTAAAGTTTTATTCGATTTTAATTTAATTAATACTTTCTTGAAGTTGTTGTTTATTAATTTTCGTAGTATCTATTTTCACAATTTTTATTAGAGCGAAACTAAAACTGTTGTAACAATAATATATACCTATTAAATCTTCACAAAAAATTGCAATGTCTAGTGGTTAATTAGTTTTTCTTAAAATATTTTAAAGTTACCAACTATACAGGGTGTTTTATAAATACTTTTATAAACATACGATCAAAAATATTTTAATAATAGTTTGGAATCGCCTTTTATGAAGAAATCATTGAAAAAAACATTTGATTTCTTTAATAAAACCACTATGTTGCGGTATCTGCATCGAATTTGCGACTCAATTTTTTTTATTTTACCGCAAACTTTTTGTTAATGCAAAATTTAGCTCAATGAAATAAATTTTTCTTAAATCTCTGTTATTTTAGGTAAACCTTTGACTTTTACGGAAACAAAAAAAATAATTAATTTGATATAAAACTTTATAAATTAATCCTTGAAAATTAATTAAACAAAAGAACAGTTTTGAGCACCGTTATTTAAGATTTTTTTATACTTGTTTATTAAATAAATAAATTTTCAAGTTGTTAAAATTATAAAATATGAAGTTGCCTGTATTACTTTGACAATATTTAATATTAAAAAAGTTTTAATATGTTCTGTAATAAAAATAATTTAAATGTCAATGTCATTGTATACGAGGTGTGTTCAGAAAATATCGGGAATTTTCGTTTTTTGAAACAAATATTTATTTATTCGTCTACATTAATGTTGTCACTTTCAAAATAGTCCCCATTGGATTTTATGCACATGTGCCAGCTCTTCTTCCAATACTGGAAACATTTCTAAAACTCGTACTTTGGGCTATCCTTTAGTTCTTTCAGCGATGCGTTTTTAATGTCATCTATGCTTGCAAAACGAGGGCCCTTTAAGGTTCTCTTTATTTTTGGGAATAGGAAAAGTCAGACATAGGCATGTCTGGCGAATATGGGGGCATCATTACAGTATCGTTTTTGGCCAATAATTTTGTTCAAAATTTAACAATTTTGGAACAAATTTTGCTGCCACGCGTTTCATACCCAAAACATTCGAAAAAATTTCATGGCATGAGCCAATCGATATACCAACATCATCAGCGACTTCTCTGATGGTTTATAACCATTTCTTCCACTTTTTTAATGTTTTTATCGGTTGTTAATGTGCTTGTGCGTTCGGGGCGTTCGTGATCTTCAACGTCTTCACGGCCATCTTGGATACTCTTATACTACTTGTAAACTCTTGTTTTACTTATAGCAGACTCACTATAGGCCTTTGTTAACATTTCACAGAATTTATTTAATTTTTTAAGCAAAATTGGATACAAATTCTTTGATCCATTTCTTTTAACGAACGAAAATCGCCGAGCTCATAAAACACGTCTAACCTTAGCGGCTGCCACAGACAAAGTAAACAATGAAAACAGCTAAAGTTTTTATCATACTTCGGGGGCATGTATACCAACATAATAAAAAATAAAAAATTATGACAACCGGACCCTCCGAACCGGCGAAATTTAACAATTCCCGTTATTTTCTGAACACACCTCGTGAACTTGGATTATATAAAATTAAATATGAAAATATTTAATTCCCAAAATGTTTCAATGTTGTCAACTAATTATTTCATAAACACGCGATGGTGCTGGCACGATTTTCAGAAACTATTTAATTTATTTTTTTTACACAAATGCAAATTAATAATTAGAACTATAATGTTTTTAGGACAATTAAGTCAACTAACTTCTTTTTAATCACGACACTCACAGACAAAAAATGTCAACTACGACACTAAATTTAGTAACTTTGGTACTTGACAAAAATCACCTGCCGTATTTACATTAAAACAGCAAACGTTGCCAAATCTTAATTTTTTTTTCCAAATTGGCAAATTAATTTACAAGGTGTTTTCTAAATTAAATTCAGAAGTTTATTTTAATGGGTTTACAAGAGTTCATTCTTAAGTGAATGTTAATTTATTCAATAAAGTTTATCTGTGTATTTGAACTTAAGAAATAATAATGGAAAGCTATAGAATTTAAATTTTATCTATGAAATTCGGTATGTGGTTCATGTTTTTTTAAATTTTGTTCACACTGTTTTAGTTGAATATAAATACGTAAAACTGAAGCAGAACCAAATTTGTTTTGACATTTTTAAATATAATTTTGACATTAAAAGCCAATCCTCAAAACCTTTTAACTTTCTTTTTTTACTCCCACCTTTAAAACGCCCATTATCGTACATGTTTCCATGACACCCAGTGATCTTTTAAATTAAAATGGCAAGCTATGGCTTTATGGCGCTTTAGTCACGGGTTGAAGTTAGCAACAGGTTTTTAATCACCTTTTTGTGTAATAATACTAAATGTGTGACTGTCAAAAGGAGTTACCCTCAATTTGAGAGAATAATTTAACGTTTAGGTTAGGTTACACTTAAATGTGAAAAGCGTATTACTATTGATCTTAAAAATTGCGAATGCATACAACTAAAAAATGTCCAAAGTAATTAATGAAAATGTATATCAATGTCAACTTCGACCGGGTATCGTAGGGTAATGTTTGATACCCGGTATAGTTAGTTTTAAAATTAATAATTTAGACTGCTGTTTTGGATGCAAGTCAAGTACAAGTAAAACATTTTAATATCGATTTGAACCAATTTTAGGCCAGTTTTAACACGAAGGGTACATACATCCAATCGAAAGGAAAACTAAAGGTTAAAAGTATGTCCTTATTTTATTTAAAATATATGTTTAACTGGGTTATTATGTATAAATATTGACTGTTTATATGAGATAATTATTAAATAAACAGATTTTTAGTATCGTCGTTCTTTCTCTATTAAAAGCAAGTATCGATTTAAAACTGTAAAAAATGATTCATAGGTAATAAGCGGATAAGTCACTGTTTACATTAATATTCTTAAAGTTCATTAACATTTAAGATGCTGCATATAAATTGTGGGAATTTTAGTATAATACACTATACATACGTATTAATTTTTTCTACTACATTTGATAAGACTAGCAGTTTTTATTATCCTTCCCAAGTTAAGTAATTCAGTTTCAAAAATATGTTGACTATGCGATTTTGGCATTAAATATCACAAAAATAAGATAAGGCAGACAAAAGAAAGTTATGTTCTATCGCAAATGAAAGGCTCACAGAAGAAAAAATATCATGCAATTAATTCTCTATATCCAGATACTGCGACAAAAAGATGAAAAAAATGTACTTACTTTGTGTGGGGTCAATAAAATAATTCATTGAACCATTCAAAAATCCTTAAAATTATTACAAAATACAATAATTTGATTTATCACAACCCATTTAGAATCACAGTGACATACAATTTCATTGTAGCGTCTTATAATTGCGAATAAAAATAGTCACTAAATTACATCAACACGGAGATGCCAAAAACACAACAACACATGCAGAGAGAAAATTTTACAGCTGTGTTCAAGCTTTGCTATTGTCAAATCTAGTATACAAACAAGAACTGACTAAATAAAATTTCGACACTGGCGCTATCTACCCGCCGCTAGCAAGGGCGGTCTCTCCCTGGAATTCCCTCCAAACCAAATCATATCCAAACGAAATTTTTGCATAAGTCTCATCTTAAAACATTTAGCTAATCGAAAAACATAAAACGAAACCCAAGAGTTAACAAAAAATCCGAAAAAATGCAGTATAAAAATTACAGATTTCTATTCAACTTCTCTGATAGATGATAGATGTCGCACAAGGTTTAATTTAAATTAAACTGGGTTATTTCACGGAAGCAATACTAATTTACTTGGGAGACTATATAGAACAGGTAATTATGCAAAAAAAATGTTTAAAAAATCAAGGTTCAATTTTTTTAATAAACACTAGACATTCACTTAAACATATTGAACATATGTATTATTATAAAATTATTAAACAAATTTACTTTTTTTAATGTGCAATCGTACACAAAATGTGTATTACCATTTTTAAGATACACTATTTTACAAACAAACTTTTTGTTAGGTTTTGGCAAAAAACAATTTTTGAGTATCAAAACATAAAACTTACTTAGGAATGACAAAAACATATAATAATAATTTAGAATGTAAAACACATTTTAGAATGGAACTTAATTCAAATACATATTGACAAGCTGTGACTTTGTGGCGTTTTAGTTACGGGCTGAAGTTAGTTATTTAGATGTCAAATATTACACAATTTTCAAAATAAATAATACTAAATGGGAAAATTATTTTATTATCTTAATAAAAAAATACAAAATTATTAAATGGTTTCTTGACTCCAATCTTTAAAATGTCAACCGGCATTTACTATAGTTTTTGCCGATAAAGCATTAAAAATTTTGTGTGGAGTACCCATAAATGATCATCTTCACTTTTACTTTAAAAGATTGTTAGTCCATTTTGAAGGGATAAATTTAAATTTTTACAGAAAAATTTGACAAACTAACACTGCCATTTTCAAATCCGGTAAAACAAATTCCTAGCACCAATTTGGTTATGTCGTTCTATACATATATTTAAATTAATTAGTAATATTTATATATAATAATTTATTATAATATTTGTCCTAAAAAAAGTATAGTATGCAACTCGTTTATAAACTTGTATAGACATATTTTTGAATGTTAAAAACCTTTAAAAATAACAAAACAAATCTTATAATGTCCAAATAGCTTAAAAAACACATTTAAAAAAATAGCAATAATTATTTTAAATGCATACTTATCCGTCTAGTATAGCGCATACAATTAACTTAGTTAGTTTTAAACAGCACACTTAATAACAATTTAAATATATTTAATGTTAACATAAAAAAGAAAGCATTTTAAAATTCTGTTTAAAATCGCACAATAAATAGAGATTTTACAGGGGTGAGTCGAAAACAAATGGGTCACACTGCATATAATATATATATTATATAAATACATATATAAATATTATATTATTATCTCAATACAAAAATACAAAATTATTAAATAGTTTCATAACGCCAATCTTTTGAAAAACTGCTGGTAAAACAGATTCCCAACATCAATTTTGGTTACTTTATTTTTGCATAGATGTCGCTATATAGGTACAAATATTTAAACTAGTTAGTAATACATTATTTTTTGTTGTAGAAAAAGTGCCACTCGTTTATAAACTTTTCTATACTCATTTTATTAACACTGCTTCGCTCGTGCCTTCTATAAAGTCTAAAATAAGTTGGTTAATCAGTTGGAAAAGGTCAAATGTGACTGTAACTGACTTGACTTCAAAGTTTTAATGCTATATAATGAAATATATTAAACAAATGTTATTTATTCAATATTACTTATTTATATTTACAAATACTTGAAACCATATGGTTAATGTAATAAATAATATAACTTGGTTCATGATTGAAATATAAATATATAATTATTTTATTTGTGTATCTTGTTAATCTCATTGTATTGAAAACAAAGAGGAAATAAATGTTTCTAATTAATTAATATTTTTGGATTATAATAATTCTGGTTATAAGTTATATTTGTTAATAGATAAGAAATAATTAAATTTTGGGCGTATTTGCCATTACTAAAAAGTATTATTAAATAAATATATCGCTACTTTGGCCAAATCTAATAATAGTAGAATTAATTTTAGTTTATAACCTAACCTAAAGTCGATGTAAATAAATACATTGATAAATCAAAATAATTAAAAATCAAGATATATAATCCTTATCATGATTGTTAATGCGCGGGCGAGTGATATCAATATTGGTAATTCTGTCAGGCTATCTCAGTTAATATCGAAAGCTTTTAATAAAATGTGTGTGCAATGTAATGTGGCTGCAATAAATTTCATTTTCCGACTTAAATGAATATGTACAGATTTTTTATGCTGATCTTTCTCGGTTATGCAAACACGGATTATTGTTTTAACAACACCATACTCAAAGTGCCTCCGTGGCCTTTGGAGAGTTGTTCGCCGGCACTTGCTGAGACTTGCAAACCAGAAAACGATTTTATCGAACAGAGCAACTGTGACTACAAAATTTGTGACCAAAACGGCAAATGCATCATAAACGTAGCCCTTATTTTGCCCGCGGACACATCTTTTCTCGTTAATATTAAAACGGTTCGTACATAATTTTATCAATGTGTTGTATGCTACGAATTCAAATGAAACATCAAATGTAGAATTTTTTTTAGGCCAAGGATATGGTCCATAAGGCAGTTACTGACCACCAAAAACACGGCATTTTGGCGACCGACACCATCGTCAAAATTACCTCTTACAATGACACCTGCACAGCGGAAAAGGCACTTATCGACCTTTTCCAAGCCAATAATATTTGCCCTCATGTCGTCATCGGACCTGTATGCGAATACTGCATATGTATGTATGCCTACACAGATATAAAAGAAAAAAGGTGCCAAAAATTAAGAGGTTTTTAATGAAACTTAAGACTATGTTACAACGAACAAATAACAACATCGCTTTTTTTAAAACAACCTACTAACCATAAATATGAAACATGTTTTTCCTCTAAACTTATTTTGCAAACTATAACAGATCTGTACCTTTTTTCGTGTGTCTTAGTGTTAAAAATAATTACTAAATGTATTTTATTACAGCTCAAGTCGGTCGAATTGGCAAATATTTGGGTTACGGGGGTATTCCTATCATAACCCCTGGCGGTATGGTGTATAATTTCATCGATAAAAAGCAAAATATGAAAGATGAATATTATTTAATGGCTAACAGTGGCAGCGCCGATTTTAGATCCTTCGGAGAATTTTTCTTTTTAATTTTATACGAGTAAGTACAAATTCCATCCAAACATTTTAAGGGGTGATTTTACAGCTTAAAATCCTGTGACATTCATAAATTTTGTTTCTTTGCCATAGATAAAGATAAATTTTTGAACAGAATCCAGACTATAATTTTAAAGTTTGGTCCGATTTCCAAAATAGAATATTGGTTACATTTTGTAAAACAGACTAGTTATAACCATTTCAACATTTTGCTGCACCCAAAATAGGAAAGTTTTTCCTCTATCATTTTTTGCATTAGTGCCATTTATTTTAATGAACATTTTTTTGACTCAAAATGTGCCTATACAGAGGGCAATATCTACATATTGTAGCGAGTACCGCTCTGGATCTCGGAATGATGACTCATCGCCGATGAGTCAGCGCTCGAGCGATCGAGAGCGGTCCGGAGCTCGCTGGAATATTCGGGAAGGCACGTAGGCACTGAATATATAAGGAACAGCGTAGCATGGAGCAGTTAGTCAAGCTTTGGTGCTCGCGACGAAATAAATAAATATACGTGCAAATAGATAAACTAATAATATATATAGGATAGGTCAGTGACATCCAGTGGCTCCCTGGTTTTGTCAAGAAATTTTCAAATTTTTTTTTATAAAAAAAGAGTAGCTTTAATGCAAAATTGATGGAGAAAAACTTTCTGGAAAGTTATTCTGGATGTTGTTACAGATTTGGTTGGAGAAAAACAGCTGTCGTTTTTGACAGATACCAGCAATCAGAGGTGGGAGGTGATAATTTTTGCAAACTTTTTTTTGATACCATAATAAAGGATATAACCGAATCGGGTTCAGTCAAGCTGGACTACTTACCGGCTGATGTAGAAATTAAAAAACTAAACTATACTGATGTGATTATACAGCAAATCGGTGCAAATTATGGAAGTAAGTTGTTTGTTGATTTGATCAAAATGTTTGCTAATACATTGTTTTAGTTATTATGACATGCACGTCGCCAAAGAAATTTAGACAGTTCCTGGTCGAAGCTGAAGCTTTAAAAATGTTCGATAATGGAGAGTATACTGTCTTCAACTTTCAAATATATCACAAGTATAATATTTTGTAGTTACTCTTCATAATGCTCACACATATTTTCAGTGTTTCAAACCCCATAAGACCCTGGGAAGATCCGGACGACAGGGAAAAAAACGACATAGTGAAAAAGGCCTATAGATCAGTGTACACTTTTGTCCCTTCTCTGCAAGCAGACTTCAGCAAAGTGAACAAAACGTCCGACAAGGGTGAGAACGTTTTACATGGCGTTTACGATGGTATGGCGATGTACTTGCAAACTCTCAACCAAACCTTCAGTTTTAAACCGAACGAATCGGTTCTGGGATGCGAGTTGTATTTTAATATGTCCGGAAATAAGTTCAGTGGTATTGACGGTGATTTTCAGACAAATTGTAACGCTCAAAGGGTCGCCGAATATTCTTTGTTGCATGTCAATGGCGATGATGAGTACGAAGTGGTGGCAAGGTATACTTCCTTAAATAAGACCATAACGTATTGGAATGTTTCTTGGCCTTTTGGCAAGATCCCCTCGGATACTCCTGAATGTGGGTTTGATAACATCAAATGTCCTGGTGAGGATTTACCACGTTTATTCCGACCCGTTTTTAATATTTTTTGTTTTTTAGTTATTGATTCGGTTAACGTTGTTATGATTTTACTCATGGTGCTTCTGTGTGTGGTAATAACTATTTTGTCGTTCGTATTTTATAGGCAATACAAGTTAAAACGGGATATTTATTCGAACGCTTGGAAGATTCACTACGACGACATAATATTTTTCCCCAAAAGACTAAGATCCCAATCGATAGGTTCAATAAAAGTACGCGCGATTTATTTGTTGCTTCTTTCAACTTACGCTTATTTTTTTCAGACAGAAGCAAATTTTAGTATTTTCGGCGATAAGCAAGTGTACGCCACCGTGGCCTACTACAATAACTGTCACGTGGCAGTGAAACATCTGAAGGAAGTCAAAATGGATTTGAGTCACCAGCAATTGGTCGAACTGAAGGATATGAAGGATTTGGCCAACGACAACCTGGTGAAATTTTACGGGGCATCAGTGGACATTCCGAACTGCATCGTGACGGAATACTGCCCGAGAGGCAGTCTGCAGGACATCCTGGAAAACGATAAAATCAACTTGGATTGGATGTTCAAAATGTCCTTGCTGATGGACATCGTGCGAGGCATCGTATACCTGCACAATTCACCCATTAAATCTCACGGTGCCCTCAAATCATCGAATTGTCTTGTGGACGGTAGTTTTAAAGTGAAAATTGCGGATTTTGGCCTCAGTTTTCTCAGAGTGCATTCGTTGGAGGAGGAAGACTGCGATTCACATTCCTACTGGCAAAGTGAGTAAAAAAACTTATCATGGTTTTGTTTTTGTTCTGACCCACGTTCATACCCAATAAACATTTTTGTTTTTGTAGTGGTTGCCATAAATGTTATATTACCCAAATTATAAAACTACAATTTCTTAATTTGGTTACAGTAATATTTATATCACCCTTATATACCCCTTAAAGAGCTTATTTGAGGAGTTTATAAAGGTAATTGTTACTTGTGTTTAGTAACACCATGAAACTTAAGTTTTATAACTAAGAGTAACAGAAATATTTTGGAGACCACTATATAACTTCTTAAGTTATATAATGTAGTTTTATATTGGTTCCGGTTACTCTTTCAACCTTGGCAGGCCCATTTTTTTAAATCATATCTTAATGCTTCATTTTTTAAAGTTTCTGACTCTTGTTCATCAAAAATATCAACATCCACAAATTCGTTGATCCAATTATTTCTTTCATCTCCCAAAATCTCCTTTTCGGTAGTACATTCGATATTCTCAATGGCTGGAGACACATTTTCAAATGGTATGGGTACGTGTACATTATCGTTATATATATCATATGATATTGTTGGTGTATTTTTTGTGTTAAAATTGTTTAGGTTAACCTCTGAATTTAGTATTTTTTTAAAAGTTTTTTGAAATGTTACGTCGAAAACTGGCACTATGCTTATATTTTTTTTAATTGTTTAACATTTTAAAATAATAAAATTTGGTTTGTTTAACACATAAAATGTTAATTAACTTACTAAAATTTATGTGTAGTTAACTTAGTGACAATTGTCATATTAATATTTATAAAAAAGTAAGACAGTTAAGACGCAATAGTTTTATAAAACAGGTAACAGCAAACTCTATAAAACTCTTTTATAAACCTATATAAACCTACTGGTAACGGTTACTATATGTTATATAAAATGTTTTCAGGAACAATTGTATAACCTTATTATATAACCAGGGGTTTCAGTAACCTTATATTACCATTATACAACTTGGAAACAAATGGTGATTTTATGAAACCTTGTTATAACCTTATTTATTTTGGCTACCTTTATATAACCTTTATATAACCTTTATATAACTTATCGTTACCATAAGTTATAAAAATTGTTTGGGTAATGACTTTATTATAACACCGCTTTCGATGCTGTAATGAGATCCCACCCAAAATTTTGATTTTATAGGTTGGCTATACTTTAAACAGCATATTTTGCATATTGGTTATAATATTTTTATGATTTTTCTAGTACTTACGAGACTTTTCTGGCAATAAATTTTGTTTAACACCAAAGAAAATCCAAAATGACGTCTTATGACATTATATCTTTAATATACTGGACTCCTAATGAAATAAACTATTATGGACATTAGAGTCTGATTTATCAAAATTATGCTTGACATATTCTAGAGAAAATTCAGTTAATATTTTATTTATATAATTTTACGTTTTAATGATAATGGTTTTGCGCTAGCATTTCATGTGCATGAGTGCCTTTTATACAGGAAAAATTACTTTCTTTGATGTAAGAAGACAAGACAACATGTAGGTATTATTAAAGGAAATTAAAAATATTTCAAAGTAAAAATGTCTTTGTTTTTAAAAAAGTTGTTTTTATTTTTAAAAACAAAGTAATTTAATTGTTAATTGAATTTTATTAATGATTTAAATATACACCTACTAATATCTTAAAAATTAATTAAAATCTGTGAGTGAAATATTGAACAAAAGGTATGTAACGAATACAGCTGAAAATTATAAAGGATAGCCGCCTCGTACACGCTGAAAATGGACATAATAAATATTTATAAACATCAATTTATCACTGTACAGTGAAAATTATTGTTTCCACATTAAATTGAAAAATGTTTTTTCGCAAAATAATAAGTATAAATATCTTTTCTCTCAATACTTGAAGTTCTACATAAATATAAATTTCGTTTAATCATCATCTATAAATAAATTTATCGACAATATTGTTAAAAATATTTCTAAAAATTTTAATCTTATCAAATGATCTGGAGTACCTATCATGTAATGTGATTAAACTTAACCTACTATGTAATTATTCAATAATAAATAAATATAAAAATTCCCAGGTAACCTTAACAACGAAACAAATTCATTTTATTTTGATTTTATTTTGAGATTACTCAATTAAATGTTTTTCCAATACGGCAGAAGTTTTAAAACAACAAAGTTACAATTGTAACATTTAATTTCATTAAAATTTCGAAATACCTTATCTATTCCATTAATAGTAAATTATAAAAATCCTTTTACAGGGCAGCTATGGACGGCCCCTGAATTACTTAGGATGACCCGTCGACCTCCCAGGGGAAACCAAAAGGGAGACGTGTATTCTTTCGGAATAATAATGCACGAAATTATAACCAGGGAGGGAGTTTTCTATTTGGGAAACGATGAAAAGGATGCCAAACGTAAGCGAAGTTTATTTAACATTTTAAAATTGTTTTGTTAATAAAGTAACATTAAATTAACCATACCTTTAATATGTGTATAAAAAATAAGTTGCTGTCAATTTAAATCCTATAAATCCACTTTAAAACTTTAATTTCTGGTACACCCTGTATATAGGTATATTATTAATAAGTAAAAGTAATTAGATAAAAATTGATGTATTTTTTATGAAGTCGTTATTTTAACTTTTTGTCATTTCAGCTTGTCATCATTTTATCTTGTACCCTTTTAAGCTTATTTAACTTGTGTTTATTATGGCTTGTAAGTTTTTAGCATGTTCCCATTTTAACCTACGGTTATTTTAGCTTATGGTATTTTATGTTGTCATTATTTTAGCTTTCTTCATTTCAGGTCATCAATTTTCAATGTATCCTCATTTTAAGTTATGCTCGTCATCATTTTGACTCGTGGTTATTTTAAATTTTGTCGTCATTTTAACTTGTCACTTTTTACCTTGTCTTTTTAAAGTTTTTTATTAAGTTTTTGTGGTCATTTTAGCTTATTGTAATTTTATCTTGTCATCATTCTAGCTTATCTCTTTTTCAGTTATTCCTCATTTAAGCTTGTCATTTTTTGGCAAGTCCTTATTTTAACTTTTTGTCATTTTAGCTTGTGGCATTTTAGGTTGACCTTATTTTAGCTTGTCATTTTTTAGCGTAACCTCATTTTTAGCTCGTCATCATTTTAGTTTTTTCTTATCTTTTCCTTATTTTTTTAGCATGCCCCATTTTAACCCATTGTTATTTTATTATTTTATCTTATCGTTATTTTAACTTGTGGTTTATTTAAATAGCTTTTAGCTTGCATTCTAGCTTTAGGCCACTTAAGCTTAAAACATTTTTTACTGTGATTATTAAGGTTTAAGTGGCCTCAAGCTAATTAGTTAACAAATTTGTACTTATTTTAACTTGTGGCCAAAAAGGTAAAATAATTACATTTGTGTTTATATTTACACTTGGATGACTCTTAAGCTAAAAAACCCTTTTATTAAATAACAGTTATTCCTTAAGCTTGCGGCTAATTTTTGTAGTCATTTTTGTTTTGAAGGGAAAATTGCAGGTTTTCATAAGAGTCATCCAAGTGTAAATATATACACAAATGTAATTATTTTACTTTGAAATAATTTATTGGACCAAGCAATTAAATTCAGACTAAATAAAGCCTATTAGGGCAAATCCCCTTAACTAAAAATTCCCTTTTGGCGAATTCAGCGACATGGCTATGCAAGATGTCAAAAAGCTTAGCATTATATGTCATGGATTTTAATTAAGGAACTAGCGGTATACAGTTTTTTATTTATAATTTTAATTATTTATTATTCATTACTACAAGCGCTGCCTTGTTGAAATTAACTATAAGTTAGACGTGTTTTAATTACTAAGTTAATAAACTAAAAACCAAGAAAAGGTAAAAATTGATTATTCTATTTTGTAATATTATTAAATAGACAGGAAAGTAATTTAGGATTTTAATGGAATTTCATTAGTTAAAATAAATTTGTTTGGAGGTAAAGTACAGTTTTTAGCAAAAAGTTGTCAGGATATAAAGAATGTATTCGATAATGCCCTTTTAATTGCTAAAGGATACTGATTACTGCTGCAAGTACAACTTCTATGGTGGTATATATGTATATATATATTCAGCATTTCTATTCCCTTAAAAATACGGAATTATTATTTATGGATTCCAAAGGAATAATAATTTATCATCACGAGAAAACAAGCTCTACTCTTAAGCTCACACGTTCCAGGAATTTTAATTTTATTAGCTTTATGCTTATTAAACAAAAAAAGTAAATATTTTATCCATCAAATATGTACGAGCTTGTAACTTCTCCTTGTCCTTTTGCCCATTCCCAAGCAACAATTTAAGTATTTGTTACGTATATGGGACTATTGAAGAAACTTTAAAGTGTTTTGCGACAGTCGCCGGTCTCTTTATATTACTCTTTTATTACGACTAAAGTGGGCAACAATTATTTAGGTAACAAATATGTCACTAGCTATAAACCCTGCTACTATTTGCAACGTAGCTGCTACGTTACTAGAACGTTCCAATATCGTTGCTAGAGCGTTATAATTACTTTTATTTATTTGTTTTTACTTCTATATTAACTGTCTTTGTCAAACTTATATTAGGTTATACTATCCCTCCTTTTTTAAATGGAACCACTACGGACTTGGCATTTCAATGTCGTCGTTTATAATATGTCCTGGTAGTTTATAACTTCCAGAATAACAATATAATGTTTAATTAGGCTGGTAAATTTATAAACCCTTTAAATTTTACTGTTAAACTTATGAATTTAGTTTTTGTAAAATAAATGCGCTTCATCAATATTTAAGTATAAACAAATTATTTATTTAATAATGTTTATAAATAAAAAAATCTTAATATTTATTATTAATTTTTTTATTCAATTATTAATACCGTCTATTACCAACAAAATTACTATTTATTAAAAATTAAACAACCATTTACAAACAATTAAAATAATTTATTATTTACATTACCACGTGGTACTGTACAGTAAAAAATGGCCGATAAGAGGCATTTTCCTTTGAAGTAGTTTTCGCTACTTTAAAGTTTTTTTCCGCTTTACGGTTGTTTACGGTAGTAGCATAAACGTTCCAAATACTAAAATAATAACTTTTAAGTTATTAACTTTGTAGTTTTTAACTCATGTTCCAGTTTCGAGATTTTAACTTGCTAAGGGACTACAAAGTAAAAATAATTATAATGTAATCTTTAGGTAGCAACCGAAAGTAACTGCTACAAATTAAATTTACTTGAAAGTTTTTTTTACTTATAACACCTTTTTTTAAAGTTCCAAAGTCTTCTTGGGGGCAACCAAGTTTTACTTAAATGTTTATTACTTTTTAAGGAAAAATTAAGTTTCTGTTACAAAATATTGCTATTTAAAAGTTAGAATTACTTTTAAGAAAAAATTAAAGTACCTGTTTAGTATACCTAACTAATTTAAAGTTATCACCACTTTGGCAATGGTTTTTGGAACCAAAAATGTTGCTTGGGTTTCAGCTTGTCAATTTTTTAACCGTGCACATAATCTTCACTTTTTTTGCAATATAGCTCCCCCCTCCATTTTAGACGACTTTTTTGCGGTTTAGTGGAATTTTTTGAACGAGAATCCATAATTTTCAGAAGGATTTGTCATATAAATGCGTACCGAGCTTAAATTAACATTGCCCATTGTAAACCTACTAAAATGATTAATGCAAAGCAATGCTACCCGAGTTTTAGGAAACAATTATTGTTTCGTATTATACGATTCCGCAGCCAGTGTAAATCATTGTTTCAATAATTTCCTGCCTTCAATCAATACGCTGCTTTTAGCAATATTTTATATAAAAATTAATAAAATTCTTTGACCTTGTCATCACTCTTGATTTTGGTGATTTTATGTTATCAATATTTTAGTTTTTGGCCACTTAATATTGCCATTCTTTTAGCTAGTCCTGTAAGATTGTTTAACTTTTTTATCGTTGTAAAGACAAAAAAATTTGGGCTGGAGATGAAAAATGGTTAAATTATCTCTTGGTTAAACAATTGCTCCAAATATAGTGGATTTTGCAGCTGCTTGTTCACAAAGCTGCTTACATAATTCATATCGTATTATTCATTTAAGTTATGTGGAGTTAGCGCTCTGTATGGGGCACGTGTACACGTGTCAAAAGTTATTTCAAGTTTAACAAACATTAGAAATATTCCCCAACACCAAAACATGTTAAGATGCGTGGACGATATCTTTGGTATTTTACTACACTAACCGTGTTCGGTAGCTCTCTAAAAGTGTTCACTTTGACACTAATTTATTTGCATTTATTTCACTTTTAGTGTGAATGCTATTCCTATTAGTGCTGGAAATTTAATCTATCTAGTGTTTATACTAACACTAATACGAGGTGTGTTCAGAAAATAACGGGAATTGTTAAATTTTGCGGGTTTGGAGGGCCCGGTTGTCATAAAATTTTCTTTATTATGTTGGTATACATGCCCCCGAAGTATGATAAAAACTTTAGCTGTTTTCATTGTTTACTTTGTCTGTGGCAGCCGCTAAGGTTAGACGTGTTTTATGAGCTCGGCAATTTTTCGTTCGTTAAAAGAAATGGATCAAAGAATTTGTATCCAATTTTGCTTAAAAAATTAAATAAATTCTGTGAAATGTTAACAAAGGCCTATAGTGAGTCTGCTATAAGTAAAACAAGAGTTTACAAGTGGTATAAGAGTTTCCAAGATGGCCGTGAAGACGTTGAAGATGACGAACGCCCCGAACGCACAAGCACATTAACAACCGATCAAAACATGGAAAAAGTGGAATAAATGGTTATAAACCATCAGAAAAGTCGCTGATGATGTTGGTATATCGATTGGGGCTCATCCCATGAAATGTTTTCGAATGTTTTGGGTATGAAAAGCGTGGCAGCAAAATTTGTTCTAAAATTTTTAATTTTTGAACAACATTTTTGGCCAAAAACAATACTGTAATGATGCCCCAGCCTCCATATTCGACAGACATGCCTCTGTCTGACTTTTTCCTATTCCCAAAAATAAAGAGAACTTTAAAGGGCCGTCGTTTTGCAAGCATAGATGACATTAAACGCGCATCGCCGAAAGAACTAAAGGCTATCCCAAAGATCGAGTTTTAGAAGTGTTTCGAGTATTGGAAGAAGAGCTGGCACATGTGCATAATATCCAATGGGGACTATTTTGAAGGTGACAACATTAATGTAGACGAATAAATAAATATTTGTTTCAAAAAACGAAAATTCCCGATATTTTCTGAACACACCTCGTAGACTTTGAAGTATATAAAAATTATTGTACGCTTGAAAAAAATATATATACCTAATGGAGATTTTCCATGATTTCGCTCTAATTAATTTTTATAAATTCATTTATTTTTATTTATGAATTACTTTTGGGTAGCGGTGCTGGGGTG